CTTCCAAATGTGCTATCGACTGCAACCTTGGTATACTTATGTCATACTGATATTCTATCATTCAAATAAAAAATATATATTTTTAACCATCTTTTTTATATATTATGTTTCGGCTTGGGTCTAATTGTCCACTGTCAACTGACGTTGGCTGTAAATCACCACGGCTCCTTAGGTTATGGCAAGCTTCGGGGCCACTTCCTGGAGTCGTGGAGTTTTGCCATTACGAGTGCGGTACATTTCATTAAAGCGTGTTTAAAAAAAGTATTTTTTAATATTACTTATTACTCATTAGCGAGCCTTGGCTTGCCGATAGAAACTATACCTTATAGGTCAGCTGGCAACGTTTAAATTTCAGCCAAAATGTTACTGTTTAATGAAGTTTTTTTTTCACGTCAGATGTATTATTACAATGTGACCGAGGAACATCCCTTGGGGTGCCACGGTGGCGAGATGTTAACGACCTCACCTGGAATGAAGGTCGTTGGTTTGATCCCGAACTTGACGCCTGTATATTTGGAGTTTGCATGTTCTCACCGTGATCTCGTGGATTTTCTCAGGCTTCTCCAGTTTTTCCCTCCACATTTCGAAACATGCGTTTAGAGCATTTGGCTGCTATAAATGTCCACGTGGTGATAAGCCACTTTGTCGAGCTATCAGTTGTGGCCAGGTCGCTTCTGTAAAAGAACTATAGCTTAGTGGGCCTTAACTGGTAAAATAAATGTTTTTTTTTAATCAAAATGTTTTTCAAACAGATGGAACATCTCGTTTCCAAAGGGGTGTCCAGATTCCTCAGGCAAACGGTGGCGGTGACATGGCCCCGGCGGGAGTGCATTGTTGCAGAGGTCCCGGTGGTTAGAATCCTGAAGGACGCCCTGGTTAATTTTTACTTCATTACTGCGGGCGCATTGACTGCAGAACGAGAGCGCCGCCTGCTTCACAGCTGACGTTCGAGAACCTGCGCGATGTTGTTTGAAGAGGGGGGGGGGGCGCCGCGATTGGCGGGCCTCATGGTCAAAATTTACTCAAGTTTCAAAGATTACTCATAATTCACTTGATTGGGACCCCCCCTCATTAAGATCCTCCTTAGTCTTGAGACTTAGCGAGGCTTTGCTGAACTAAGTAAAAAGAAATCCAGACAGGTTTTTTATTTAACTCATTGTGGGGGAAACTACAATGTCAATGCTTTTTTTTTAATGAACAGAAGGCTTCGTGTTTTCTTTTGGGTTCAATTCCTCGCTTCCCAACACTCTGGTGTTGCCAATGAACCGCAACAATTGACAATTGCCGATCACGTGACACCGTAATTCGATTGGCTCTGTCACCGGGTGGTGGAGGGCTACAGGGCAACATTGGAGCAACAACCGACGACGCGAATCTAACCCAAAATAGACTCGTTTATGAATCATAACACTGAAAGCCTACTCGTTATTTTTAAGTGTGTACTTTAAATAGTTGAAGCCCACAGGTGTTCCCTCCCTCCCCCCCCCAAGCTCACAAAAGTACGACCCCTTATTTTTATTACGCTAGGTCTGACCTTTCAGTTCCACAGCGGTTCCGGCACGCAATTGAGTCGCCACTCGAGCAGCGTGCCGTGCACGAGGTCTGGGGGGTTTTCTTTTGTTGTTTTGTGTGAATTTATTTCAGTATTTTAAACAAAGAAATCAAACCGTAATATCGGCGTGGCCACCCGCACCGACGCGCGCGCGTTCCATCTCCCACGGGAAGGGCGGCGAATTATTCTTCCTGCATTTAGAGGACACATTCTGCGAGCTGTAAACGAACGTGAAAAATATAGCGTTACGCGCTCGTTTCAAGACGCGGTAACTGCGCGCGTGTTTGGTCGTGTGCGAATGTGAGTGTTTGCGAGTGCGCGCGTGTGTGAGTGTAGTGTGTTTCACAGCGTGTGTGCGCGTGTGTATTTTGGCTGTGATGCCCCTCAAGTTGGGTAAGCAATACAAACCCTGGTTATAAGTCAAGAGTTCAATTCAAATATAATCGATCATAATCATCATTATATATCATCATTACATATTATTGTCCCTTTGGGGTCAGCGAAACAGATACCGTCTCGACGAGGCAACAACTCGTCAGCAAATGACCGCTGATGTGTTCAATCCATGGTCGACGGGGTCCTGACATAGGAATGTGGAATTTCCACTGTCTCAGGACTGTCGTGTTTCTGACCACCACGACCCAAGTGGCCGTTTGTGCGGAAAGAAGCTTTTCGAGGGGCCGTTGTTCAGCGAACTGTACAGCTGATTGGTGGTCAGACTTAAACGGAAAGTCTGCGATTCACCAAAGCCATTGAAAATTCATTCCGAGAAATAAATATGCTTTTTTTTTGTTGTTTTCCTTTGAATTTTGTCACTCATACATTACGATAATCCCTCGTGTCGCATCGGAAAAGGGTAATCTGCTTAAAAAAGGAAATTTGACAAAAAATTTGAGCAAAAAAATAAATTACTAAATTCACTATACAATCGGTGGGGGGGGGGGGCAGCGGAGGGAGCAGAAAGAAAAATCGAAGCTATGGCACTGTAGCGTGAACCTGTGAGCCGGTCCCGTTAAAATTTAGGGTTACAGCTCAGTTTAAATTAACATCGGTCACATAATCATCATCGTCGTCACGATAACCATCATTCTCATCATCATGCCATCATCATCATAGTTCCAGGCCCGATAAAAACAAATAGTAACGCACCGTGTGACGCTACACCATTTGGCGGACGCACCCAAGGGAACGGTGGTTTTATTTTAAGAATATTCCTAGGCCCTGTCATGGGAACAAGGAATTTCCTTCACTGGCTTAGGACCAATGGCCCAGGAATAAAAATCAGAGAGAAAGCCATGTGCAGTCGTGAGGGTTTCCCACTCGTGATTGGCTGACGATGAAGAGCGTTCACCCGTGATTGGCCAATTGGTTCGAACCACTCCATTTTGATTGGCCAAAGTTTGAATGGCAGCACTGGAAATGGCACCACCGCAGTAGTGGGGTATGAAGACAAATGTCCCCCGTATAACCTGAACAGACTGTTGGGGCAAGTGCTGTTCGCGAGCAGCACCTATGAAGGCTGGCACGGCACACGAAGGGGTGGGTGGACAGCACCACGCTCGACCGCCTTTGTCTCCCCCAGTGATGATGTTTAATACACCGCACCAGATACTCAGTTGAGGTTGAGTTGACCTAGGGGAGGCCCAGGACCGGTTCAGATAATCATCACTGGGTGTTGGCCGTGAGCGGGAATCAAACTCGGGTCGCCAGGTTCATAGAGCGGTAGCGCTATCCACTGCGCCACCGCTCCCTAGGGCACGTGATACACGCACACGAAGCTGAGGCAACACATTCGTAAATACACAAACAGAACGCACATGCACATAAGATGCGCACGTACGCACGTAAAACCACACAACCACGCAAAGAAACAAATATACAAAGACAAACATCCACCCGCGTGGCCACATCGACTGTTGGGTCAAGTTTTGTTGGCAAGCACCTATTATTAATGCCAGAAATAGCGCACAAGGGGGTTCTGTGGCCAGCAGCACGCCTGGCCACTTTTTGTGATGTTTATGGACCACAGCAGCTACTCATTCGGCCTTAGGTGGAGGAGGGGTGGCCCAGCAATTATTTGTCCCCATTCGTTACGAACGTTACCCACGGCTGGGAATTGAACCCAGGTTTTCTGGGTTCGTCGTGCAGAGCGCAAATCGCCACGCCACTGCCGCCCAGCTTTTCACACACGCTTAGATTACTTACAAGCGCAGATACAAACGCACAGGTACATACAAAGATCCTCCGTATAGCCTGAACTGACTGTTGGGGCAAGTGCTGTTAGCGAGCACCTATGAAGGCCGGCATGGTACACGAGAGGGTGGGGTAGCCGGCACGACGCCCGGCCGCCTTTGTCTCCCCGGTGGCGATATTTATACACCACACCAGGTACTCAGTCGAGGCCGAGTCAACCTAGGGGAGGCTAAGGACCATTTCAAATATGTGCCACTGTTATTGATCATGAGCGGGAATTGAATTCGGGTCGCCGGGTTCGTAGCGCAGCGCGCTACCTGCTGCACATACACACACCGCTGGGGCACGTGGGTAACGGCACACACACACACACCGCTGGGGCATGTGGGTAACGGCACACACACACCGCCGGGGCACGTGGGTAACCACCACCGCCCCTCAGGCTCTCAGGGCCGCACCTGCACTCACTCGAGAGTCGTTGCCGAGCAACCGAGCACCGTTCTCGTCTGGTCAAGTAGGGGATTTGTTTTTGGGTTTTTTCTCTCTGCACGGCGATCTCATCGCTGCCCCCTCTACCCGAGGCTCCAGCGTTGTGAACGTCGTTCCGTGCCCACGTGGGCGGAACAGTATTTTCGCCGAGTTAACAAAGAGATGGCAAGTTATTAGTTTTTTTTGCAAAAGTGTAAGCCGGCATGCACCACGACATCGTTCTGTGCACAACTCGCACCACATCCAGTGTACCTCTTCGCTACGGCCGTGTGCTACTTGCTAGTCACGTCGCTCACCTACTCCAACCAACCAGGGGGACCTAGAAAACTATTCAGTGGGAAATAAAGCCACGATCATTGTCCAGCGCTGGCCACTCCCTGTTTGGGGAGTTGTCACCACTGTTTATTGTTTCGATGGTTGTTGGTTAAACGTTTCTGGGTGCACAGCTCCTCTCACCCCGTGTCTCGCTCTCTCTCTCCCCGCCCCTCTTTCTCTCTCCCATCCCTCTTTCCCTCTCCCCTTCCTCTCTCTCTCACCTCCCCATCCTCTCTCTCTCTCTTCCCATCTCTCACTCTCAAACCCAAAGCGGCCACCCCTTCGGACGACTTGCTTCTGTGCAGAGCACGTAGCGCGGCTCAGCTGCACCACCGGTCTCTCCCTGTGTCTCCCGACTCTCTCGCTCTCTCGAGGCAGAGAGTGATGACAGAGAGAGCGACACGCAGATGACGGAGACAAACACGCCGGCTTACCACTTTGGTGGTAGTGCTCGAGTAAATGTCGTTTATTCGAGCAAAACAAAACGGCGTTTGGAAAAGCAAGACGGGCAAAAAAATATATATATACCTGCTTTCAAAACAAAAATTAAGGCCCGCTCCAACTCCAGGACGAATAATTACATATCCTTATAAAAAAAAAATTCTGAAATAAATGCGCTGACGACGTAGTGAAACGAGAACGAATGGCATGTTTTGTATCCGTATGTACACGTACTTGCCTCTAGTGACGCCGCTGCTGGATGAGGGCCCTCCCCTATCCGTGCGGGTCGTGCGGAAGGGATGGGGGGTGGGGGGGGTTATTCGACCGTACTTTATCACGCTGGTCAGTGCGGTGGGGGGGGGGGGTGGGCGAGGGGGGGGGGTGGGGAGCATCGAGGGGGCGGCGGCAGCAGCACTTTTGTTTTTGGAAACCCAGCGTTGAAGGATGCGAGACTCCGCCATAGCCGCGCCACGCCGTGCGTTTCCCCCCAATGCTCTCCCGCAAATTCGCAAACGACGGACACCCACGCCGGGTCTCCCCTATCGCGTGTAAAATAAAAATCTATTCGTTTTGTCGTTTGCGATGCATTCACTGCCATTTTTTTTTGCTGCATAGCAGGGGGCAGAATGAAAACCTCGCAAAATATATTTTTTCCGAACGACGATAACAAAAAGGACGACGACGATAACCGACGGGGTGGGGTACAGCAACGAACCCCCGTGGAGAGTTCCCCTACGACGGGTGCCCCCCCCCCCCGCCTTCCCCACTACGAAGGAGGGCAGAGGACGGGGGGGGGGGGGGGTTCAGCAGAGGTGTGGGGAGGCCAGCGAGCCAACGATCCCACTCCATCCGGCGACATAAACAAACCAACGAGAGACGACGCCCCCTCCTCCTCCTTGCATCTTGAGAGGCGAAAAACAGCCACCGTTACAGTTCCGCAGAACTCCGACGAGCGATATCTGTCGTTGTTGTAGTAGTCGTAGCAGTAGTACTAATACAAAAAGTAATGGCAGCAACGATAATTTACAGCATCGGTGTCACGACTGAAGGTCGCGGGCTCGAGACGGTCGTGTTCTGGGGGGTTGGCGAGTTAAAAAGTTCCCCTCTAAATATCTCGAGTTCCCCCAGTTGCCGCGCTCCCGCTTGAAAGACGTTCCCCGCTCGCCTATCGGGTCACCTTCTTCTCGGACGAGTAGATGGACAGGTAGCAGTCGCTGCTCCCGGCCGCCAGGTGAGGCTGAGAGAGACAGGGGCCGGTGGGGGGGGGGGACGGAGGATGAGGCGGCAGAGGGGGTGGAGAGACAAATTTGTTTAGAATGGAAGTCGCAATCCCCCCCCCCCGCTCCTCTCTCAATAAAGCAAGTGGCTCTTCTTGTCAAGAGTCGTGCCCGGTAATCGACCGGAGCCGTGCGTGTCCCCCGGGGCTGCCTGACGCGCATGTGAAAGCTTCTGTTCAACTGAACGCCAGGGTCATGCGATTCCAAACAGCGCTGCGACAGTGACCTCTAGTGACTTGATGGGTGCCGCACCCGTTACCACGTCTACGTTAACGCGTTCGGTGCATTGCGGCTCAATGCGTTGTTAGTTCGGCGTGCGGCTCAATGTGTCGTTGGTTCAGCGTGCGATTCAATGGGCTGTTCAGCGAGCGGTTCAGCATGCGGCTCAATGTGTCAATAGTTAAATGAGCGGTTCAGCGTGCGGTTCATCGAGCGGGACAGAGCACCGTACCCAGGACGGGTGGAACGCCAGGCAGCTGACGGCTCCGATGCGCTGGCCCATGAAGCCGTCGTAGTACTTGATGCTGTTGAGCGTCTCCCCGCTCATGTTGTACACGGAAATCAGCTGGTTCATGGAGCCACTGGTCGACCACACGCGAGCACAACCACGGCAACGGCGATTGATTAGTGCTATCGGTAAAAGGCAATGCACGGAGGGATTTAGCACGACGGCATCTAAACGCCACCGCAACGCTGCACAGCAAGTGTGAGCGGCTGCACAAACACCAAAGATCCCCCCCTTCCCGCCACCCATGCCCCCTGTGTAGCCTCACCAGACTGTTGGGGCAAATGTTGTTAGCGAGCACCTATGAAGGCCGACGCAGCACACAACCGATTAGCACCGTTGGCTACGTACGGTGCAAAAGAATGTGTTGGCGTGGCCAGAATCATGCCCGGCCAATTTGCCTCCCCAGTGGTGAAGTGTACACACCGTACCAGGTACTCGCTTGAGGCCCAGTCGACCTAGGGGGACACAGCTAAGATATTCATCTCCGATGTTGGCCGTGAGCTGGAATCGAACTCTGTATCGCCGAGTAGATAGCGCGGCACGCTAACTACTGCATCACCGCCATGGCCGCCACCACCACCACCGGCACCATCAGCACCAGCGCTCACCATGCAAAGATGTCGGCCTGCGGGTGAATGTCCATCGCGGTGAGGCCCTTGCTCATGGTGGTGCAGCTCAGAGACTCGGGCAGACGCACGTCCCACTGCCGGATGTCCCCGTCCACGCTGCGTCCGGCACGCGGTCACCGTGTGCGTGGGGGACGGGGGGGGAGGGGGCGCGGGGTGGAGAGCGGTGTGGCAGGGGGGCAGGGAGGTCAAGAGCGGTCATTTCTCCAGACAAATGTGGACTGCTCTTGCCTACGAGTGTGAAGACGCGTGCCGGCTCAGGACGACAGTGCTGACGATATAAATGACAATGAGAATAATGATAATTGTGATGCTGATGACATTATGGCGACGATGTTGCCGTTGATAATCTTGATGGTGAGGATAAGAATGATGAGAGTATTGCTCATCATCACGATGATAATGAAGAATCTGACGATGATGGTGGCGGCGGGGTTGATGGTGGCTACCTGGCGCTGATGATCTTGCCGTCGGGGATTCGCTGCAGGTAGGCCTTAAGCACCCAGGCTTCGTGCTCACGGAAGGTCTGGACCCGGCTGGACAGAGAGAGGAGTTGGGAGGGGGGGTCAATCAGAGGCAGAGGAACGAAGGAAGGTCCTGAGCCTTGACTGGAACAGAGGCGGGGGAGTCGATGGCATGGACCAATGGGGTAAGGGAGTTTCAGATTTTGTGGGCAGCAGAGGAGAATGAGTGACCTCCCACTGAGTGGAGGTTGACCGAAAGCATTTGTCTGTTGGAGTGGAGAGTTGCGTGGAGGGGAGCAGAGTGAGATGAGAGGGGAGAGATGAAAGAGTTTGTGACGGGGAGTCGAGGGAGATGAGAGGGGAGAGGTAGGGGATTGCGTGGAGGAAATAAGAATGAGATGAGAGGTAGGAGAGTGCGTGGAGGGGAGTATGGCGAGATTAGAGGGGAGAGAGGGGAGTGCGTGGAGGGGAATACGGTGAGATGAGAGGGGAAAGAGAGCATGTGGATGGGAGTAGAGTGAGCTGAGAGGGGAGAGAGAGGGGAGAGTGCATGGAAAGAGAACGAGAGCTCAGCAGATATGAGTGTGCTGGAACGCGGTGAGACGCGCGCGGGCTGTGACGCACGCATGCACAAACGCGCACACGCGCACACTCACGCACCAGTCGTGAGGAGACATGCGGCGGTCGAAGAGGCGCACCGAGCCGTCGCCCAGACCCGCGACGAGCAGCGCCGAGTCACACGACAGGCTCGTCACGCAGCTGTCCGCGCCCGTCGGGATGTCCTGGGCGGAGGGACGCGAGCGTGAGCACCCGCACGCACAGACGCATACACAGAGATCCCCGACGTGTAGCCCTGAGTCCGATTAGCGCGGTTGGCTACGTACGGTACCAAACAAGTTCAACATACATTCCCACGAGCGCTGCTAGCGAGCACCTATGAAGGCTGGCATGGCACACGCTAAGGGGGTGGTGGTGTGGACAACACCACGCCCGGCTGCCTTTGTCTCCCTGGTGGTGATGTTTAGACACCGCACCAGGTACTCATTTAAGGCCGAGTTGAACAAGGGGGAGGCCCAGGACCGGTTTAGATATTCGTCGCCGATGTTGGCTGCGAGCGGGAATTGAACTCGTGTCGCCGGGTTTCGAAGTGCAATGCACCGATCACTGCATGACCACTCCCAACATATACGCACACACCTGTACACACACACACACCTGTACACACACACACACGTGCACACACACACACACCTGTACACACACACACCTGTACACACACACACACCTGTACACACACACATACCTGTACAACACACAGACACCTGTACACACACACACACACGTGCACACAGACACACGTGTACACACAGGCACTGGCAGTAAACAGTAAAGGTACCGTGTCTCCGCGCCCGTGTGTGTTTGGGCGAATGGAGGGGACTTTGCGAGTGAGGGGGGTGGTAGGGGTGTTGGGGGAGTGCACGGGCAGGGGGACGCATTCGTGGGGGTCGGGGAGGGGGTCAGGGGATCGGGGAGGGGTCTCGTGGGGGTCTCAGGTGGGGGGGGGGGGGTCTCATGGGAGGCCCCTTGGGGGTTGGGGAGGGGGTCTCGTAGGGGCGGACCTGCACTTTCATCTCCCGTTCAGTGTCCCACACGCGCATGATGCGCACGTCGCCCGACACGACGAGGAGCCCCGTGGCCTGCTCCCAGTCCAGCACCAGGCCCGCACCTGCGCACGCACGCGCGCGCACACACACACACACAGGTTACACACACAGCAGTTACACACACACAGAGGTTACACCAACACACAGGTTACACCCACACACAGAGGTTACACCCACACACACACACAGCGGTTACACACACACGCACACAATAACAAAGATCTCCCACGTACCGTTTATCGACTGCTAGCTAGTAGCACCTATGAAGGCCAGCACGGCACACGAAGCGGGTGGGCGGCCAGCGCCAACGCCCGGCCACCTTTGTCTCCCCCGAGCGCTGATGTCGACACACCGCACGGGGTACTCATTTAAGGCCGAGTCGAACTAAGGGAGGCCCCCAAGACCGGCGGCTCAAAAATTCGCCACCGCTATCGGTCGTGAGCGGGTTGACGAACTCGGTGCCGCCGGGCTCCTCGTAACGCGGCGCGCTCACCGCTACACCCAACGGGCACACACGCACGACGTTAAGGTCGTCGTGATGCACGAGTTGGTGGTCAACCCACTGCGAGGGTACGGATTCGCGAAAGCGAAGCAGCGGCCGCGGCTCAGGGACTAGGCAAAGAATCGGGGGAGAGGGGGGGATAACACAGCAGCGAGGCCAAACGTATAAAGGCAAAGCCTTCGGCCTCTAACGAGGGGGGGGGGTATAGAACTTCACCCCTCCCTCGCCTATCACGCACTCCCATTCTACGTCCAGTCTCCTTTCTCTTCACATTCATTCCACACTCTTCTCTCTCTCTCTCACTTGAGCTAAATAACATAATTATTATTACTAATACATCATTAATTCTAATTGAGGAGGGTCCTGCCAGAGTTCACGCTGTTTTTGCGGCGATGTTGCTGTGGCTGCTGCTGCGTGGAATCCTAGACGAGCAACCTGCGGGTCAGTCATAATTATCGGAGGAAAACCCACGCAGAAGAGGGGGAGAGAGGAGCCCTAGTCGGGAATCGAACCGGGATGCTTGCACCGCCGTAGGGCGCGAGTGTCACCACCACCACCGCTGCTGTGCCGCCCCAAACGTAACACAGACGTTTCCGTGCCGTCTCCTCTCTGTCCCCCTTCCTTTACTCTCTCCGCCATTCTCTCTGTCCACTCTCTCTGTCCACTCTCTCTGTTCACCCCCCGCCTCGCCGCCCCCCCCCCCCCGGAGCCACTCACCTCCCTGGTTACTCTTCTCGAGAAAGATAGAGAGTCTCCGTGCGAGTCCTGTTTGCAAGACAAAACAAAGCAAGAGGGGGGGGGCACGGAGGAGAACCGCGCCGGGTTCCCCCATCATTTAATAACGATTATATACATATATTTTTATATAATTGCAGTAGATCATCGATTATTCGGCAGTTTCGGGAGCGCCGGATTTTCAAAAACGCCGGATAATCGTTCAAACATTTGCTTACAATGGGACATAGGCAAAAATAAATAAACAAACAGACGAAAAATTGAAATCCCACGGTAAAAGGTTACCGTGTTTGCTGTGCCATACTTACCACTCCAATCTCGAAGGCTCTGCATGGGCTTGATGTACCTAGTATAGCACGCTGTGTGGCGGTGGGGTGGGGTGGAGCGTGGCGGTGGGGTGGAGCGTGGCGGTGGGGTGGAGCGTGGCGGTGGGGTGGAGCGTGGCGGTGGGGTGGAGCGTGGCGGTGGGGTGCCGTGCGGCATATCAGGCACCGTACCACGTGCACTGCGAGTGGAGGGCAGCATGTCGGAGAGGCCCTGCCACGAAGAGATGAGCTCCGGGTTGCGCTCGCCCTCGGCACAGTTCTTCCAGATCCGGATCGCGCCGTCGTCTACGGGGACACGCACGGGCACGCACACAGACACACAACACGTCAACGCACACAAAGATCCCCCGTATAACCTTAACAGACTGAAGGGCAAGTGCTGTTAGCGAGCACCTATGAAAGCCGGCACGGCAACGAGGCGGTGGGTGGCCAGCACCACGCCCGGCCGCCTTTGTCTCCCAAGTGACGATGTTTACACACCGCACCAGGTACTCCTTTGAGGCTGAGTCGACCTAGGGGAGGTTCAAGACCGGTTCAGATAATCGTCACCGGATGTTGGTGACCATGAGCGGGAATCGAACTCGGGTCGCCGGGTTTGTAGCGCAGCGCGCTAACCACTACGCTACCGTTCCCCACAGACACACACACACACACAAACGTGAATACAGACTCGCGCACGCGCGCACACACCCACAGCTTTGCACCGAGTGTAGTGTGCCGTGAACACGGGAATACTTCACGACCGGCCAATAGGGGGCAGTAAAAGCAAGTGACAAATTGCCCCCCAAACCCAACGCAATCCCCCCCCGCCACCACCAACTCGCGCACACTGGGGACCATCAGCAATAACCACAGAGCGTTACAGCGACGCCGTTGTTGGGCAGGTTCGCACGCAAGCGCGCGTGCCCGCGAGCGTCGACGAGCGAGCCGCTCACCGGCGGCCGTGAGCAGCAGGGGCACGTCGTGTGCGTTGAGAAACTCCATCGCGGTGATTCGCGTCAACTTGGGGTTGCCGTTGTGGAAGTAGTCCACTTTCTCCTGCCGCTCCCAGTCCCAGAAACTTGGGACGCGGGTGCAGACGCGGCAGCAAACGCAACGGGACGACAGAGAGAGAGAGAGAGAGATTTAGTCAATTAAAGAAATCTGCGTTGAGCCGCGTGTTCTTCTTCCTGTCCCATCGCCGCACTTCGCAGCGTCGCACCTCGTCGTGACTTCTTTGGCACCTCTCAGCTCTTGTTTAATTGTCTCTGTGAGCGTCCATGTCTCTGATCCAGACATCAGAGGGCGAGCAAGGTGACACGCGTCGATTAAAACCCATCCGCTTCAGTCGTAGTGGAATCGATCGACCAATTAGCAGCGTTAAGAAAATCGTAATTTCTCATATATTTCCTATATGTACATTTTTTTTATTGTCATTCAAGAACCAAGACTACAAAGTAGATTTCAAACAAGAGGGGGAAAAAAATAAGGTAACGTGTAACAAGCTCATTACCCCCTCAAAATTAAGGATCGATCGGGGGTGGGGGGGGTGTGGGGCGTGCGGGCTCGCTGCCCTACCCAGTAGAGGTAATGATCGGGGAGCAGTGGATTTAAAGGGAAGAAAATCGCTATTTAAATTGGATTCGGGTCAGTACTCGTGCATTGGATTGGGAGAGCAATTATAATAATGTTTATCCCTCTACATTTAGATTCATTTGTCTGACCTGTTGTTACTGCCATTGGACAATGCTACGTTGTCTATTACCAGTTCCCCAGATTTCGCATACACTTTGGATCAAAGAGGCATTTAAACGTAGCTGCCCCAAAGTGTTTTGGAACCCACCCAGTTTCGTCTCTTAGCCATCTCCATTCTGCCATTTAAAGTGACTATCGCTAAAATCACGAAAGTTTAAGTGTGAATGTAACTTCATTAGGTATTTTTAAAAACATCTGTAATTGTGGAATTGCTTTGATTTTGTCTGCTGGCCGAGTCGCCATTGTCAATTAACTTCCTAGCACTGCGAGCTTCACTCAGTGGGAAATACACCTTCACTCATTATACCTCTGTACCGCACGCCCTCCTGGCCCCGGGCCCCCCCCCCCCCCCCGCCCCTCCTGCCCAACCTGGACAGGCCTTTAGCCTCCCAATTTGTTCTATTGCTGTTTTTTTTTGTTCACGCGCTTCTATTGAACTTATTCAATAGAAATCCCTTCCATTCAGATGAGCGTGGGGTAGCCCTGAGTTCTAGATCTGGGCTACAGAGTCCGTGAACTTCTGTATGCGCTACACACGTTCGTTTATTATCAATCATAACGACAACAACAACAATAAGGCCGTCACGTACGCAGGACAGCCTCGCCGGCACTCAAGACTCTTTGCAAGAGGGTGCTGCCAGTTTTTCCCACAGTAGGGTGACGGGGGGTGGGGGTGACATGATCGATCCCTATGCCTCGCAGCGGCGCGCCGAGTGCTCGCCCTCACGGCCACGGGAGCCACGAGTTCGTATCCCAGCCGGAGGTCGGGAAGGAGGCTCTCGGGCCTGGTTGCACCGTCGTGAGGATCGCAACGCTCCACTCACAGATTCCGACGCGCCGAGTTTTACGTCCGGCTCGGCCCATCATGGGCGAGGGCCGATAAAGCGAGCGTGACGGTACTCACCAGATGCTGTCCCGGTCGGCGACGGCGACGTAGGGGTCGTAGGGGTGGAACTTGACGACGGCGGGGACCCCGGGGTTGCGGTTGATGAAGATTTGCTCGTCCACCCGCGCGATGCCTTGCACAGTGCGGAAGAAGTTCAACATACACACGCGCGTCACACGTTACGCAACACACGCGCAAAGGAACTCTCGCCTCTGTTTATAAAAGAAAATATTTTATTCAATCAACATTGGCATCATACCTTCCGTGGATCGATGGCGTTCAAGTTACCGCTCCTAAACTGCAAATATTTTACTCGCAGCGTTCAGTTTGTGCTCAGTGTTTTAAATTAAATAACAATAATAGCCACCTGGTCGCGCGCTGCCACAATAGTTGATAAGATTTTAGGCTTTTAAATTTCTATTTTTAATACTAGATGTTGTTTGTCTTCTTAACTGTGATTCTTAAATGCTATTGTTAGTTTTAAACGTCGTGAGGTTAGAAACGATAAGTTTGTGCGACTCTACAGTTGCCTGGGTAAAATGTGAGATAGGTTTTGCCAAATCCTGGCCAGCAGTCTCAAAAACTTACCGAACCAAACCACCAATTAATAACCGTCCAGTACATAACAGTCAAATAGAATAATTAATTCAGGTGCAGTTAATAATAATGGTGAAATTCTAACAGTCAATTATCACGATGTATCGTAATTGCCAATTATAACAATGGCAATAATAGGTAATTAAAGTGGTGCATTATAATAAACGATTCGAATGGTAAATTACAATGGTAAATTATAATGGAGAACTAAAACTGTTAAATATAACGGTCCATTATCACGGCGTAAGCAAAGAGTCTGAAACACGAAAATTAGAAGTGCCTATTCAGACGGTCAATTATAATAATAATAAAATGAAACGATGGCAGGTAGAGATGGCTCGGCGAAAGCCTCCATCCAGCAGCGGATAGATGGTGGCAGACGATCATCATCGGTCAAAATGCAAGCATCTCTTCTGTTTAGGCCTTGAACTGGTGGTGTAAAATTCACGTTCCTATGGCCAGAGCCAAACCAATAGTGCTAATAATTTAAAAGTTGTAACATGCACCACTTTTGTTTACAATGGATTTGACCCTTTTCATTAAACGTGGTAATTAACCATTATAATTGTCATAATTTACCATTTATAATGGACCATTCACTCTCTCTGACAAAGACAGAGTAAATCAATTATTTGGTGATGCTGCTGCTGCATTGGCAGTGGTGCACAAAGCACAAAGAACAAACACAACTCATACTCGACAACAACGCCACCTGAAAGGAAAAACACATATAGCATGTGTTCTGATGCAGGGCCATTGCCTGAAATGTCACCGCCACCCCAAACACCCTCCTCACCACCACCCCCTTCCTCACCGCCACCTCCCCACCCCCTTCTCACCAATCCCACCCCCTCCTCACTGCCACCCCCTCCTCCTCACCACCACCCTCTCCTCACCTCCATCCCTTTCTCACCCCCCCCTCACCTCCACCCCCTCCTCACCTCCACCCCTTTCTCACCTCCACCCCCTCCTCACCACCATCTCACTGCCATCCCCCCCTCCTCACCACCACCCCCTTCTCCTCACCTCCACCAACTTCTCCCACTACCTCCTCCTCCCTGCTGGAATTCGAGCCCACGGCCCTGAACAGCGCCGGCTCAGTGCTCCCGTGACGAGGCCATTATGGGGGCCCTCCGAGCCACCTGGCGCGGACGTAAATTTTTAAACGGGGCATCTCGTGCACGTGGGCACGCACGCACACACACGCGCGCCAGCGCTCACCTTTGCCGAGCAGCTGTTGAGCGTCAGAGCGCACGCGCTCGTTCCGCATGAACCGCCACTCGCGCTCCTTGTAGATCTGCGACTCCGTGTCGTGCTCCTCCGGGTACTGGCAACCATCGAGACACAAACGCGACACAACGGCGGCTCAACTAAAAGGCGCCGCCACTGCCGCCGGAAACGACGCTCGCCGCAACTGCCGCGACAACCACGACAACCGCACGAACCGCGACTGGCACGACATCGCCACGATGTTCCCCGCACGGGGGAAAAAAAAAAAAACACTCGCTGCAAGTAATGACCGGCTGCAAGATATGATGTTACGCACACGCTGCAAGGTGGCCGGCAGGAGAAGGAGCCGAGACGTTGCGCTACGTTGCCGCGTAGCGGATCGTTTCCGCGCGTGTACCCAGAATTCCCGCACCGCTCGCCTGAACAGCTCGAGCAAAAAGTAGTTCCGCCGTCGCCCGCTCAGCGAGCGCCCTGTAACGGGGGCGCGCTCCGCGTTTGTGCAACAAGCGTTCCCGATAAGAAGAATTCGTGATCTTAGCGGAAACGCATTGTGTGGAAACGTGTAAAGCGAGGAACTACTGTGTATATGTGTATATATACACTAGGTGTTGTTCTGGCCAATGCAGAGGTCACAGATGTGGAGCTCTGTCTCTCTGGCCGCTCCTCTGTGTGCTGTACGTATGTGTAGTGAGAGATGGCTGGTCAGACAGTGGGTGAGTATAACGTTCTTTATTCGTTTCGGTCTCTCACACGGAACACGACCTCACTCCATCTCCCGCCAAAAAGGACCCCGAGCTCCCCCTCCCTTTCCGCTGACCTCACACCCCCCCCCCCCCCTTTCCGGGGGTTTCCCTGGCCTATCGCTACGTCTTCTCTGCCTTCCCCTCTTGACGACGTCACCCTTTCTTGGGGGCCGCATCTCTTGCAAGTATCTCTACGTATGTATGTTGAGCTTCTTTTGCACCGTATGTCGCCAACCGTGCTAATCGGAGGTACGGGGGGGGGGGGGGGGGGGGGGAATGACAAGGAACTAAACAAAAAAAGCAGTTTTTAAGAAACGAGTTTTCAATATAGATTTAAAAGTGCATAGCTCCAGTGGCTTCCATAATATCGGAAGGAAGAGTGTTCCAGACGGCCGTGAAGAAGGGCCATTGGCTAAAACGTCACCCACTATATACTTGTCCCTTCTAAGGTCACGGGTGTTGTCTTTGACGAATGTGTTGAGTGTTTTGTCCACCAATGCCAATGCCAGCAACAGCATGGCCAAATAATCTGCCACCTCGTGGCGATGTTCGCCACCAGAATCCCAGTAATTTGAATGGAGATGCGGCAATCACCAATACAATTCCCTTCGAAGGCCTGAGAAGGAGCAACTCTTAAAGAGATTGAGATGTAAGCGAGTTGGGCCAATCGAATCGCCTTCACCTGCATATCTGAGACAACACAAAGTTACACGGTTCCCTATTATACATGGTCCTTATTGTAAATTAGATGGTCCGTATTGTGCAATCATATGGGTGAATGCAACAGTTCAGTCTCCACGCGACGTCACGCCAATCTCGGCAACGGCTCCAGACGGGCAATTTCCACGTCTCCCACCGTAGCTCATCACCAACGGGGGAGTGGTAAAAAGTAATAAAAAAAAAATTGAATAATTTTAAACAACTGGCGTGGCAACAACGATCATCGGCCACGTTCACCGCGAGTGACGCCCACCGCGCTCGCACCGTTCCCGATGAACCGGTGCCGGGGGTGGGCGCTCCTCTCACAGCACCGCGCAGTTCGGTTCCCACGTCAGCCGGAGTCAGCGGGCTTCGTCTCGTTACCGAGGAGCCGCGCGTCGCCTAGCAACCCCCCCCCCACCGGTCGCCGCGGTAACGGGTCACGGACGCCGTGAAAGCGGAGTGCGGCGACGGTGGAAAGCGGCGGCAGGATTCGTGACGGCGGTAGCGGCGGCGGATAGAGGCGAGCGGAGGTGCAGGACAGACAAACAGGAGGGAGAGGAGAGAGCGGCCGGGTCAAGTTGTCCTGACGCGACGCGATGGATTTAACTGTCCCACGGGAGAGAGGGATGGCTCGAGGGGGGGGCGATTCATAATGGCCGTGCCAGGAACGGAGTGCTATCCACGGGTTCCATCGCCCTAATGGAACCGGGTCCTCAAGAGAAGTGAGTCGCGTTGGTCTCTCGTCCCGGACGCCAATTACCGGACCAGACAAATTCAAAGCGTGCCAAATATATATTCTTGGTTCTTTCGGTAAAGTCACGATGAAGGGATGGGCTCGTGCCAAATGTGTTTAAAGTTTGATACAAGGTCACGCTGCAGAGGCTGCGGAGAGTCGAGATAAAAGAAGGGATTTAGACGGGACAGACTGCACAAGCGAGACACGGCAAGAAGAGACCAAACAAAAACAAGCCATCTACGAATCAAATCATGACCCCCCCCCCACCCCGACTCTCAACCCCCCCCACCCCCCGGCCTCTACAAATCATGACAATGGATTGAATTATAAATTGCGGGTCACGTTAACTAAAAGGGGTCTCTGGAGCCTCTGCGTGAACATAAAAGCATGGCGGTCAATTCTCGCGATTAGATTCTTGGGGAGGGGGGGGCAGGCTGGGGGGGGGGGGGGGGGGGCGGCTGTTGTCCCGTTACGGGTGAAGTAAGCCAATGGCTCCCGGCGTCGCCGTGGAAGTCAAGGTTTTTATTCAAATGGTGACATTTCAAACCGGGGGGGAGGGGGGGGGGCACTCGCCCACCCTCCTACTCCTCCTCCCCAGGCTGGAGATAAAAGAGCGACAAAAGCTCCCCGGGCATCAAACGTCAGGGTGAGCATCAAAACGACATCACACAACGGCCACGTCGAAAAAGATTACGTTTTCTAAAAATGGAGACCCCCCCCCCCCACGAGTATCGTGCTGTGGGTGCCGGGTGCTCGGTAGGGGCTATAGAGTGGTGATGCGTTCTAGGTCTGGGCTATAGAGTGGGTGATGAGTTCTATGTCTGGGCTATAGAGTGGGTGATGAGTTCTGGGTCTGGGCTATAGAGTGGGTGATGAGTTCTATGTCTGGGCTATAGAGTGGGTGATGAGTTCTGGGTCTGGGCTATAGAGTGGGTGATGAGTTCTATGTCTGGGCTATAGAGTGGGTGATGAGTTCTGGGTCTGGGCTATAGAGTGGTGATGCGTTCTAGGTCTGGGCTATAGAGTGGGTGATGAGTTCTATGTCTGGGCTATAGAGTGGGTGATGAGTTCTGGGTCTGGGCTATAGAGTGGGTGATGAGTTCTGGGTCTGGGCTATAGAGTGGGTGATGAGTTCTAGGTCTGGGCTATAGAGTGGTGATGCGTTCTAGGTCTGGGCTATAGAGTGGGTGATGAGTTCTATGTCTGGGCTATAGAGTGGGTGATGAGTTCTGGGTCTGGGCTATAGAGTGGGTGATGAGTTCTATGTCTGGGCTATAGAGTGGTGATGCGTTCTAGGTCTGGGCTATAGAGTGGGTGATGAGTTCTATGTCTGGGCTATAGAGTGGGTGATGAGTTATGGGTCTGGGCTATAGAGTGGGTGATGAGTTCTAGGTCTGGGCTATAGAGTGGGTGATGAGTTCTAGATCTGGGCTATAGAGTGGGTGATGAGTTCTAGATCTGGGCTATAGAGTGGTGATGCGTTCTAGGTCTGGGCTATAGAGTGGGTGATGAGTTCTATGTCTGGGCTATAGAGTGGGTGATGAGTTCTGGGTCTGGGCTATAGAGTGGGTGATGAGTTCTATGTCTGGGCTATAGAGTGGTGATGCGTTCTAGGTCTGGGCTATAGAGTGGGTGATGAGTTCTATGTCTGGGCTATAGAGTGGGTGATGAGTTCTGGGTCTGGGCTATAGAGTGGGTGATGAGTTCTAGGTCTGGGCTATAGAGTGGGTGATGAGTTCTAGATCTGGGCTATAGAGTGGGTGATGAGTTCTAGATCTGGGCTATAGAGTGGGTGATGAGTTCTAGATCTGGGCTATAGAGTGGGTGATGAGCTCTAGGTCTGGGCTATACAGTGGGTGATGAGTTCTAGATCTGGGCTATAGAGTGGGTGATGAGTTCTGGGTCTGGGCTATAGAGTGGGTGATGAGTTCTAGATCTGGGCTATAGAGTGAGTGATGAGTTCTAGGTCTGAGCTATAGAGTGGGTGATGAGTTCTGGGTCTGGGCTATAGAGTGGGTGATGAGTTCTAGATCTGGGCTATAGAGTGGGCGTTAAGTAAGAGATCTGGGCTATAGAGTGGGTGTCGGGTTCTCGGTCTGGACATCGACAATTTCCCAAAACTCCAAACCCGTCGGAATAACAGTAAGTAGTCATGATACCTCTCAAATACACACCACCACAATCATCATACCACCTCGCCTTCTCCTCTTCCCTCTCCTGCGCTTTGAAGCTACGACAGCGTGGATGTTGCATCAGTCTGTACGGCTGCACATGCGTCTGCGTGCACGCACGTGGGTCTGCGTGCACGCACGTGCGTCTGCGTGCACGCACGTGGGTCTGCGTGCACGCACGTGTGTCTGCGTGCACGCACGTGTGTCTGCGTGCACGCACGTGTTTCAAGGGGCATTCGTTTTTGTGCCCACCCGTGCGTGTGTGAGCATCTGTAGCTTAATGGTTAGCGCGCTGCGCTACGCACCCGGCGACCCGAATTCTATTCCCGATTACAGCCAACACCAGTGACGATTATCTAAACCGGTTCCGGCCCTCCCCCTATGTCGACTCGGCCTCAAATGAGTACCTGGTGCGGTGTGTAAACATCGCCACTGGGGAGACAAAGGCGCTCGGGCGTGGTGCTAGCCACCCACCCCCTCGCATACTGCTCCGGCCTTCGTAGGTGCTGCACGCGAATAGCACTTGCCCCAAAAGTGTGTTAAGGCTATACGGGGCATATTTGTCTTTGGTTTGGTAATTAGCTCGTGAATCCCAGCAGGGGTACCTTTTAAAAGTGAAAAGGCCAAATGATTGCGTAAACGGCAGACTTCATTATTTCTATATCTTACCGCAGTTTATTTTCACGTTCAAGCAATAAAAAAAATGGTCTTCCTGGATCAACGAACATTGGGCAACAATCATCTCTGCCGGGCAAGCCTCGACCGGTGCTGGACATTCCCCATTACTATGACGGGAGCCGGCTACGAGCAAATCACTGTTGACTTCCCGAAAAAGTAGTGCTCATTTTATCAACCCCCTCCCCCCCCTGAAAAGATGATGATGATGGCCTGTGCCATTGATAGCAGGCTTTACCCTTTCCAGCACTTAAGATGCAAAGATGTTCAAACACCAACAAGACACCGATTGCAAGGTATCATCGAGCCTGCATTAAGCACACATCATGCTTGTGGTAAACCATGAAAACAAACGTGCTTTGATAATGTACGCATTGGCCTTGAAAATTATTTGCCTACGGCCGTGCCTCAACACCAGCGTTAGACAGAGCAATAGCAAAAGGCGAACCAGCGCAAAGGAAAAAATAATTATTTCGGGTTCAACGATTATATCAATTATTATTATCTTGATACTGGAAAAAAAAGGGTCCCATCGATATATTAAATCATTCAAACGTTTTTACTCATAACTCGGATGGCACAACTGTCATTAATTATCCAGGCTAATAATAATTAACTAACGAAAAACATGGTACTGGCGCAGAACGTTAGCATGGTGCGAGGCCATCGCCGCCGAGGCGTGCGGCGGGAGTTTCCCAGCGAGCGAGCGAGCGGCGACGCTGCCGCTTGATGCACCACAACCGAGTAAGTTTCACGGCTACTCCTGACAAAGAACGGTCAGCCGGGGAAACGGGGCGCTGCAATACGACGAAATCGGACACCCGGCGAAATCACCGATCAGAGACGTTCCCCGTATATGGAAGGAGGAACGATGTTGGCCACGTGCGGGACATTTGTGGATCGTGAATCGAGGTATAATCGGATCGATTCCGCTCAGTCTCCGTCAGTCGCTCAGTTGATCGGGCGGCCATCGTGAAAATGTCGATTCATTGGCAGTCGATTCATTGCTAATCAGTACTTGTATCGAGCAGTCAGTTTAGCTCATTTATTTGGAAAAGCCCTGTGAGCCATGCGGCTCTTGAATCGGGTGCAACCGCAACAAACAAAAGATGAATACAGAACATCCCAAAGCGATGACGCGCAACAGAAACATCCTGGAATTCAACCAGCAAATATTACACACACAAAAAACTTATTAAAACGTTACCTTCATGACGGACTGCGTGAAGTACTTGGTACTCCACTCACAGAAGCCGGTGTGCAGCGCGAGGCAGGCGGCCGGCCTGTGGGGCAGCGCTCCGTCCTCACCCTCCTCGGTCGCCTGGCTCAGCGCGGGGGGACAACGGCAGGGGAGAGCGAGGGGAGAGCGAGGGGAGAGCGAGGGAAGAGCGAGGGGAGAGCGAGGGGAGAGCGAGGGGAGAGCGAGGGGGGAGAGCGAGGGGAGAGCGAGGGGAGAGCGAGGGGAGAGCGAGGGGAGAGCGAGGGGAGAGCGAGGGGAGAGCGAGGGGAGAGCGAGGGGGGAGAGCGAGGGGAGAGCGAGGGGAGAGCGAGGGGAGAGCGAGGGGGGAGCGAGGGGAGAGCGAGGGGGGAGAGCGAGGGGAGAGCGAGGGGAGAGCGAGGGGAGAGCGAGGGGAGAGCGAGGGGAGAGCGAGGGGGGAGAGCGAGGGGAGAGCGAGGGGAGAGCGAGGGGAGAGCGAGGGGGAGAGCGAGGGGAGAGCGAGGGGAGAGCGAGGGGAGAGCGAGGGGGGAGCGAGGGGAGAGCGAGGGGGGAGAGCGAGGGGAGAGCGAGGGGGGAGCGAGGGGGGAGCGAGGGGAGAGCGAGGGGAGAGCGAGGGGAGAGCGAGGGGAGAGCGAGGGGGGGAGCGAGGGGGGAGCGAGGGGAGAGCGAGGGGAGAGCGAGGGGGGAGCGAGGGGAGAGCGAGGGGGGAGAGCGAGGGGAGAGCGAGGGGAGAGCGAGGGGAGAGCGAGGGGGGAGCGAGGGGAGATCGAGGGGAGAGCGAGGGGAGAGCGAGGGGAGAGCGAGGGGAGAGCGAGGGGGGAGCGAGGGGAGAGCGAGGGGGGAGCGAGGGGAGAGCGGGGAGAGCGAGGGGAGAGCGAGGGGAGAGCGAGGGGAGAGCGAGGGGAGAGCGAGGGGAGAGCGAGGGGAGAGCGAGGGGGGAGCGAGGGGGGAGCGAGGGGAGAGCGAGGGGAGAGCGAGGGGAGAGCGAGGGGAGAGCGAGGGGAGAGCGAGGGGAGAGCGAGGGGGAGCGAGGGGAGAGCGAGAGGGGAGAGCGATGGGAGAGTGCAGGGGAGAGCGAGGGGGGAGCGAGGGGGAGCGAGGGGAGAGCGAGGGGAGAGCGAGGGGAGAGCGAGGGGGGAGCGAGGGGAGAGAGAGGGGGGAGCGAGGGGGGAGCGAGGGGGGAGCGAGGGGAGAGCGAGGGGGGAGCGAGGGGGGAGCGAGGGGGGAGCGAGGGGAGAGCGAGGGGAGAGCGAGGGGGGAGCGAGGGGAGAGCGAGGGGGGAGAGCGAGGGGGGAGCGAGGGGAGAGCGAGGGGAGAGCGAGGGGAGAGCGAGGGGAGATCGAGGGGAGAGCGAGGGGAGAGCGAGGGGAGAGCGAGGGGAGAGCGAGGGGGGAGCGAGGGGAGAGCGAGGGGGGAGCGAGGGGAAAGCGAGGGGAGAGCGAGGGGAGAGCGAGGGGAGAGCGAGGGGAGAGCGAGGGGAGAGCGAGGGGAGAGCGAGGGGGGAGCGAGGGGGGAGCGAGGGGAGAGCGAGGGGAGAGCGAGGGGAGAGCGAGGGGAGAGCGAGGGGAGAGCGAGGGGAGAGCGAGGGGGGAGCGAGGGGAGAGCGAGGGGAGAGCGAGGGGAGAGCGAGGGGGGAGCGAGGGGGGAGCGAGGGGAGAGCGAGGGGAGAGCGAGGGGAGAGCGAGGGGGGAGCGAGGGGAGAGAGAGGGGGGAGCGAGGGGGGAGCGAGGGGGGAGCGAGGGGAGAGCGAGGGGGGAGCGAGGGGGGAGCGAGGGGGGAGCGAGGGGAGAGCGAGGGGAGAGCGAGGGGGGAGCGAGGGGAGAGCGAGGGGGGAGAGCGAGGGGGGAGCGAGGGGAGAGCGAGGGGAGAGCGAGGGGAGAGCGAGGGGAGAGCGAGGGGAGAGCGAGGGGGGAGAGCGAGGGGAGAGCGAGGGGAGAGCGAGGGGGTAAGGGAATCGTTAGTGAGCCACGCGAGAGGGAACGACCCCAGGAGGAGGACGACACTGACACCACAAACCTGGGGTTAATGTTATTATTATTATTTAACCCACGTCGCACCACGAGATGAAGGGGGATTCCATTCGGAGCTCTCGCAGAGCAGAGCCGCAGAAGTGGATATCCCAGAGCTACCTCCTTAACGTGACCTCTGACCCAAACGCCGAAACGGGCAGCGCACTCACCCCCACCCACCCGCCCGCCCTGCCGCGTGTTCGTCGCACGACAGCCTAAACTAACGTTTTAAAATACTCACAGCTGAACGTTTATCCCAATGAAGTGCAGAACCACATGTTTATTTTACACGGTGGTTTTTGTTGTTGTTGCTGCTGTGCAGTCGTCAGTGACCGCACTCGAGAACCCGGCTTATTTCATCGCAAGCAGGCAGGCACGCGGCTCTAACTGCCGGGTTTGAACCCAGGAGGGCCGGCTCTGAGGTTCCGACATCCCGACTACCCCCATCCCCCCTCCCGACGCTTGAACTAAGACATCGCCGGAAGAGAACGGTCACGATTCGCGAGTCTACTCTTCCCTCGTTAGTCGGAGGTGCTCGTGAAGAGCACATTTCACGGATAACGATGTTGCCCTCTTTAATGCATTACCTTAAATAAATACTCTCATCGCTTTCTCGCATCACTTTTTCTCTCATCACTTTATCCCTCATCACATTCTCTCTCATTACTTTCTCTCTCTCTCTCTCTCCCTCTCGATGCAGCAGTCGCATCGTCCCATCCCGTTCGCATCGTCCCGTCTCGTGTGCGCGAAGTGTGCGCTCTGCCGGCACGACGGGCGCGTCGCCAGCTCACCTTGTCGGGCCCCTTGTCGAACATCTTGCGCGAGCGCGAGAACTGGTAAGTGTACCCCGGGAACTGGACGCCCGGCGCCGCGACGGCTCCCCGCTGCGCGGCCAACTCGCGGGGAGACGGAGCGGCCGCCACAGCCGTCGCCGCCCCCGCGTGACCGGAGCCGAGCGGGATGGTGGAGAGCCCGCTGCACGAGCCGTGGCGGCCGCCGCTGACGGGGATCCCCTCCCCCGCCGATCCGGCCGGGCTCGCCCCCTGGAAGGCGCCCGTGCGGTCGCAGTGGGAGGGGTGGGAGGGGGTCGGGGGGTGAGGGGTTGGGGGCGGCGGTGGGTGGGGGGACCTGGGGAGTGACGGGTGAAAGGTCAAACCGTGAAACAAAGTTTTGAACGCGCGTGTGAGTGCGTGTATACACTGAACTTCTTTCGCACCGTACGTGGCCAGTCGCGCTAATCGGAGGTGCGGGTGGAAGGACAACAAACTGAACACAAAAAGCGGTGGTAAAGAAATTATGTTTTTTGATCTAGATTTAAAAGTGCATATCTCCAGTGGCTTCATAATATCGGAAGGAAGAGCGTTCCAGACGGCCGCAGAAGTGCGCCTGAGAGCCCACGATGCGGTGACCGTCTTTGTTATCGATGGTTAGCCGCTGCGAGCATGACTCGAGTTTGCGTATGCATTCATGTTGAACTTCTTTCGCACAATACGTATCCAACCCTGCTAGTCGGAAGTGCGGGGGAAGGACACCAAACTAAACACAAAAAGCAGTTCTAAAGAAACGAGTTTTCAATCTAGACCAGGGGTCGGCGACCACAATAACAAGAAAAGCCTTTTTTTTTATAGTCGGTAAAAAAAAATCCACATTTCAAGCGCCGCAATGCACATGACTACGAGACGGTGGCCATAAATAAATAACGTCACAAATCAGTCCTTAGAGAGCCGCATGCGGCTTCGGAGCCGCAGGTTGCTGAACCCTGGGGCCTAGATGATTTAAAAGTGTACGGGCTCAAGTGGCTTCCTAATATCGGACGGGGAGCGTTCCAGACGGCCGCACGAGCGCGTCCGAGAGCGCGCTGCGTGCGCGTGTGCAGTGACCGCCTCTGCCGGGGAGGGGCGGCACGCTCGCCGTACCTGCTGCCGTGGGCCGCGGCGATCGGCGTGCGGTTGGTGGGGCTCGCCGGCGCCGAGTGGGTCAGCGACGACTCGGAGACGCGCTGAGGTCGCCCGCTGACGGTCGTCTTCAAACGCGGCACGGGCGCAACGGGAGGTCGCAGCGAGGGTTATCGGCGAGCACGGCGGGCAAACGGCACGTTTAAAGTTGTAATCGGTAAATAAGGGAGAACACACACACAAACACGTGCGCGCGAGGCTATCGTGAATGCTCGGGAAGAGCTATATTGTTGATGTTGTTGATGGCGATGATGGGAGGAGGGAATTCCAAAGTGGAACGGTGCGAGGGAAGAAACGGAAAGAGAAATGAGGCGACCTGCAGTGTGGGTGAGTAATTCAATGAGTCAGTAGTTGTGACCTGCAGTGTGGTGGGTTAGTGTGTTAGTGGGTGGGCGAGTGGGTGGTTGAGTGAGTGATTGATTGAGTCAGTGGGTGAGTGAGTTGTTGTGACTTGTAGTATGGTGGGTGAGTGTATTAGTGGGTGGGTGAGTGATTGAGTGAATGGGTAAGTGATTGAGTGAGTGGGTTAGTGAGTTATGACCTCCAGTGTGGTGGTGGTGTGTGAACACAGTGTGATAGATGAGACCAAGCAGTCTGTGTCTGGTCGACCGAGTCTTCAGCATTGGTGGAGGAATCAATTAAAAATGTTAAAGGGTACAATGACTGTGGTTGTAGTAGCAACAGAATAGGCAACTGACCATGGGCGACATAGTGACTGCAGTGAATCAGTGCATGCTGAATCATCAATCAACCCTGACTCCTTTACGTTTAATTCTACCAGACGCACTGAGGATATGGTTCGGGGTTAGTGCACAACTCTTATAACCTAGGTTATCACAAGTGCGAAACATTCATACATTGTAAGATCTATAAAACAGTTCGCTCTTGCATTTTTACTGAACTGGTTAAATGTCTCGAACATGGCGCAGCGGCAGTGAGTTCTGGGCTGATGGAATGCTGAGTAGGTGAGTGGGTGGGTGAGTAGGTGAGTGGGTGGGTGAGTAGGTGAGTGGGTGGGTGAGTAGGTGAGTGGGTGGGTGAGTAGGTGAGTGGGTGGGTGAGTGGGTGGGTGAGTGGATGAGTGGGTGGGTGAGTGGGTGGGTGAGTAGGTGAGTGGGTGGGTGAGTAGGTGAGCGGGTGGGTGAATAGGTGGGCGAGTAGGTGAGTGGGTGGGTGAGTGGGTGAGTGGGTGGGTGAGTAGGTGAGTGGGTGGGTGAGTAGGTGAGTGGGTGGGTGAGTAGGTGAGTGGGTGGGTGAGTAGGTGAGTGGGTGGGTGAGTGGGTGGGTGAGTAGGTGAGTGGGTGGGTGAGTAGGTGAGTGGATGGGTGAGTAGGTGAGTGGGTGGGTGAGTAGGTGAGTGGGTGGGTGAGTAGGTGAGTGGGTGGGTGAGTAGGTGAGTGGGTGGGTGAGTGGGTGGGTGAGTGGGTGAGTGGGTGGGTGAGTAGGTGAGTGGGTGGGTGAGTAGGTGAGTGGGTGGGTGAGTACGTGAGTGGGTGGGTGAGTGGGTGGGTGAGTAGGTGAGTGGGTGGGTGAGTAGGTGAGTGGGTGGGTGAGTAGGTGAGTGGGTGGATGAGTAGGTGAGTGGGTGGGTGAGTAGGTGAGTGGGTGGGTGAGTAGGTGAGTGGGTGGGTGAGTAGGTGAGTGTGTGGGTGAGTAGGTGAGTGGGTGGGTGAGTAGGTGAGTGGGTGGGTGAGTAGGTGAGTGGGTGGGTGAGTCAGTGAGTAGGTGAGTGGGTGGGTAGGTGAGTGGGTGGGTGAGTAGGTGAGTGGGTGGGTGAGTAGGTGAGTGGGTGGGTGAGTCAGTGAGTAGGTGAGTGGGTGGGTAGGTGAGTGGGTGGGTGAGTAGGTGAGTGGGTGGGTGAGTAGGTGAGTGGGTGGGTGAGTGGGTGGGTGAGTAGGTGAGTGGGTGGGTGAGTAGTTGAGTCAGTGAGTATGTAAGTGGGTGGGTGAGTAGGTGAGTGGGTGGGTGAGTCAGTGAGTAGGCGAGTGGGTGGGTGAGTAGGAGAGTGGGTGGGTGAGTAGGTAAGTGGGTGGGTGAGTGGGTGGGTGAGTAGGTGAGTGGGTGGGTGAGTAGGTGAGTGGGTGGGTGAGTAGGTGAGTGGGTGGGTGAGTAGGTGAGTGGGTGGGTGAGTAGGTGAGTGGATGGGTGAGTCGGTGAGTGGGTGGGTGAGTCGGTGAGTGGGTGGGTGAGTGGGTGAGTGGGTGGGTGAGTAGTTGAGTGGGTGGGTGAGTAGGTGAGTGGGTGGGTGAGTAGGTGGGTGAGTAGGTGAGTGGGTGAGTGGGTGAGTAGGTGAGTGGGTAGGTGAGTGGGTGGGTGAGTAGGTGAGTGGGTAGGTGAGTGGGTGGGTGAGTAGGTGAGTGGGTGGGTGAATAGGTGAGTGGGTGGGTGAGTAGGTGAGTGGGTGGGTGAGTAGGTGAGTGGGTGGGTGAGTAGGTGAGTCAGTGGCTAGGTGAGTTCCAGGCCAATGGACCACGAACCGCGAAGCCGCGGGGGTCCAAATCTCGCTGCGTAACAAGCGTGTGCATGTCAGCGTGCACGAGTGGAGAGAGCGTACCAGCAATACATGTGTGTATGTGGCTGTGCGCATGTGTGCACGTGTGTGTGTGTGTGTGGGCGTGTACGTGTGTGTGCGCGCACCTTCCACGCGACGGAGTTGAGCGTCCGCATGGCCATGTCGGACACCTCGGGGCAGGGGTCCACGGCCATGTGCAGCAGCACGCGCCAGATCTGGGTGTACACGCTGTTAAACGAAATCCCTGCGCACGCGCACAAAGATAAAGATCCACCGTGCGGCCTTAACGGAATGTTGGGGCAAGTGCTGTTAGCGAGCAGCACCTATGAAGGCCGGCACTGTGGGCACACGAGGGGGTGGGGGTTGGCCAGCACCACGCCCGGCAGCCGCCTTTGTCTTCCCAGTGGCGATGTGCAAATATCGCAACAGGTGGTCAAATTGAGGCAGAGTCGACCGAGCGATTCTGACATTCGTGACTGGCGTTGGCCGTGAGAGGGAAAAAAACTCGGGTCGCCGGGTTCATTTGGCAGTACGCTAACCACTGCACTACCGCGCATGGACACAGACACACGTGAACATATAAACAGCTCCCAGGCTAGGTGCACCTTGAGGCGACGTCAAGTGTGGAAGGCTCACTGCTAGCAGGTAACGGAACGAGACCCAGGGTGCCATTGGTTGACTGACTCAGATGACGACAGATGCCCCACCTGTGCCGCCTACTGTGCCAACTTGCTGCGTTTTATCTGCCCGGCACTCCACTGTATTCTTGTGAGCGTCGCTTCTCTACCCTCGTTATTGCTGGAGGGCGACTGCCTCCAACTGCCCAGCAGCAGCGTCCTTCACCAGCCTACTCCACAGAGACCAATCTTGACACCGCTGGTACCAGTCATCAGAAAGTCCACTCAGCTCCACATCCTCCCGTACCGCATCACACCATCTCTTCTCTAGACTGTGACGTAGCCCCTTTAGCCCCACTATCCGGCCAATCAGAAGCTGCTTGGGCACACGAACACACGCACGTGCATACACACCCACACAAACACACCTGCAGCAGGTAGCAAAAACAAAGATCCCCCGTATAGCCTTAACAGCCTTTTGGTGCTTTTAGCGAGTAGCACCTATGAAGGCCGACACAGCACACGAGGAGGTGAGTGGCCAACACCATGCCCAGTCACCTTTGTCTACCCAGTGGCGATGTTTACACACACTGCACTAGGTACTCATTTGAGGCTGAGTCGACCTAGGGGAAGCCCATGACCCGTTCAGATAATCGTTACTGGTTTTGGCGGTGAGCGGGAATCGAACTCGGGATGCTGGGTTCGTAGCGCAGCGCGTTAACTGCTACAAAACCGTTCCCCACACACAGACATCAACACACACACACCCACACGCAGCCACACACCACCAAACTCAACCTCTTCCTGCAGCTGCCCCACACCCCACCCACCCAACCGACCTCACCTCCCACCTACAACCCACAGCGCTCCACCCCACCTCACCCACCCTTGCCCGCACCGATGAGTGAGTTGAGGGCGCTGTAGGAGCTGACGCGGCGCATCTTGTCGACGGCGTCGTACGTGAGGATGAGCTCCTCCCCGTCAGGGCTGCTCGCCGTGCTGCTGCTCCCGCCGCTCATGTTCAGCGGCGGCGATATCATCGCTCCGCCGCCGCCTGCGCGGACGAGGGGAGGGGGAGGGCGATCACGGGGGAGGGGGCACGAGGTCGGAGTTTGCCGTCGTTATCTCGCCCCAATGTAGCCGCGTGAAGCCCGCGTCTCCCTGCCGCTCGCCAGTCTCTCTGCTCAATTTGTTTGTGCCGCGCGCGTGGCCTATAGCGGGCGGGCGGGCGAGGTGTTCGTCGCGGGAGGTTCGCGCTTCCAATCCGGCGGCCGCCCTCGGTTATTGCTGCCGCGCCGATTGCGTTAACCGTAATAATGCTGCGAGCCGTCCTCTTCACGGCGGACGCGCCGACGGTCCCGGGGCGTCGGTGGCCAGAGTAGGCCGTCGCGTGCCGGCGCTGCCGTCTGAACGTGCCAGATTTCATTCCAAAAAGGATTCCACCGCAAATTACTCGATTTGAATTTGCACTTACGAGGCGATCTTCACCACCCTCCCGTAGGAAAATAAACCTCGACGGGACCCTCCTGAAAGAAGAGTCTTGGGACTCAGCGAGGCCTTCCGGGGTAAACGCTCAAAAGGATAAATAATATATATTTATAATGCGCAGAGGGGCGATTCCTCCTCCGGTGATGGACATTGTGACTGCATAGCAAAGATTGGACGAACTTTATTGGCTGCCATGCAATGATCGACTCCCTGGGAAATCGCCACAATTCTGGGTCAAGATTAATTTCCACCGAGGTTGTGTTTCTTGGCAGTTTGTGGTGGGTCTCGTGCGTTCCGCGCCATTCGCTTCTTCCCAATTTGGCCCGTCGGCCCCAAGGTGACGTCCGCATTGCGATCATCGAAAAATCTGCAATCGTGCACGGCGCGATCCTAGCATTGTGGTGCGTCATTAGGCGCTCGCTTATCCGTGAGCAGGAGAGTTCGCCTTGGCCGTGAGCACGCAGCACCGCACGCGAAATGCCTGTACACAGTGTATACGAACACACTCCACGCACAAACGTGTACACATACCTACCATGAAACCCCACCCAGGTGTGCAAGACAAAGACCTCTCTGTGTAGCCTTAACAGACTGTTGGTGCAAGTGCCATGCGCACGCACACAGGTAAGCGAGGGATGCTTAGGGAAGACAACTCAACAAGCCGACGACTCTTCTCTTACGGCTACACAGGCGGGCTGTGCGTCGCGGGCTCTCCCACAGAAGCGTGAGGCTTTGTTGAAGAAAAAAAAAAGTTTAAGTGACTTTCATGAGCGGGGCACCTATGGTGGCAAGATGTTAACTACGTCGCCTGGTACACAGGAGGTTGTGGGTTCGATCCCGACCTTGACACCTGCCGTATAATTGGAGTTTGCGTCTCTCTCCCCGTGGTCGTGTGGATTTTTTTCCCTCCGGATTTAGAAATCAACATCAAACGTACAGCGTATCTGGGTGCTGTAAATTTCCACGTGATGATAAGCCACTTGGTTGCACTTATAATTTGTGATAGCCAGGTCGCTTCTGAAAAAGAGCTGTTTCGCTCAGTGGGCTTTACCCGGTTAATTTAGTAACGTAATGGCACCGCGTCGACACCGCGCTACAACGTACGGGGGAGTTGCGCCTCGTAGCGACGATGACGCCGGTGCGCTACGGCATCACCGGGGAAGTTTCGGCGCCCGTGCCGGACAGCCCGGCGCGCACAACCCACTCGTTCGGCCACAAAGCCGGAAATAACGCATCCGCGTTCTGCCTTTGGGGTGGCCGCCCCTCCCCCCTTCCGTGAGCGGCGCAAGCCGGGGGTAAGCGGAGGCGACGGAGCGCCGGCCGCACGGCGCCACACCGACCGATCGGCCGGCGCGGCGTGGCAAAGCTGGCAGGCCACCGCGGAGAGCCCAGTCCACACGCGGTCACTTTTTTTTTTATTAAAATTTTTTTCATTTAAAATGTTTTATTTATTTCCGGATTCCAGCAGCAAGCGCCGCTCGCCGCCGAGCGGTGACGCCACGACTGGAGGCGTCGCGGCCGTAATTGGACAGGACAATCAGAGGTGAGCGTGATGACGACGTCACTTCCCGCTTGATGCCCTGCGCCCCCACCGACCAACCAGCCTTTAATTAACAGAGGAAGCGGCGTCACAACAAACGACGTCGAACCGTTGTGGATTGAGGCTTCTCGGATCTCGCCGAAGGCGCTTTCGGGGTGGCGGTCGGAGCGGATCGTCGGCTGGATTCGACGGCGCCGCCGTCGGGGCGACAATTTCTCTGTGGCGACACGGACGGCGGGCAAGAGCTCCGCGCGTGGACCGGGCCCTTGGCGCTTGTTAACGTGCAGAGCGACAGGAAGCGGCAGGGCAGAGAAAGCGACGCCACAGCAGGGAGTGGGGGCGGCGGAGCGGGGGGGCGAGGGGCTAAGGACAGGATGGCAGGGGGCAGAGGCAGCGAAAGACGTGCGCGGGGCGGGAGAGAGGCGCGATGAGGCGGAAACGCTGACGCTCGCGGCGCGACTGGTAACCCACCGACGTCGCGCTCTTTGATCGCCGCCGAGTCCACGCGACACAAACTCCGCACGCAAGCACGCTGCAAAGCTGAGCGTGCCAAGGGGTGTGAGTTTTCCGGCATCACACGAGGCTAGCTACCATGCACCTTCCCCCCTGAGCTTTGGGCAAAGCAATGACGCTCAGGCAGCAAGGGTGACGCATCGCAGCGGCAACCCTCAGACGAGATCAGAAACTCAGGGTCAAAGCGTTTGTAGTTTGTGTTTTTTTTTTCAAGAGGTAAGGAGGTTGAAGAGGGACGTGGAATTATGAGAGCGGTGAGCGAGATTCGAATTCAGCGACAGCCCTGGTGACCTCTAACCCTGACCGCTCATTCATTTCCCTCTACGAGGTTATCAGAATCAGAATTATTTTTTCAATATATATACTGGAGGAATCTGAGCTACAAAGCTCTTATTCACAGAAGTCCAGTAACGACTTGCTGATGCTACCCACTTGAATAACCCGGGCGAGGGCCTGCCCATTGAGCTTCTGGGGAGGTGACAGCTACACATGGGAACATACAGTGTACGTTTGCCCACTGACAAATACATTATCAGTCTATAATTTTAATGGTAGTTTTATTTGCACAGTGAGAGACAGAATAACAACAAAAAAATCCAGAAAAACGCATGTCAAAAATGTTATCAATTGATTTGCATTTTAATGAGGGAAATAAGTATTTGACTTCTCTGCAAAACATGACTTAGTACTTGGTGGCAAAAATCTTGTTGGCAATCACAGAGGTCAGACGTTTCTTGTAGTTGGCCACCAGGTTTGCACACATCTCAGGAGGGATTTTGCCCCACTCCTCTTTGCAGATCTTCTCCAAGTCATTAAGGTTTCGAGGCTGACGTTTGGCAACTCGAACCTTCAGCTCCCTCCACAGATTTTCTATGGGATTAAGGTCAGGAGACTGGCTAGGCCACTCCAGGACCTTAATGTGCTTCTTCTTGAGCCACTCCTTTGTTGCCTTTGCTGTGTGTTTTGGGTCATTGTCATGCTGGAATACCCATCCACGACCCATTTTCAATGCCCTGGCTGAGGGAAGGAGGATCTCACCCAAGATTTGACGGTACATGGCCCCGTCCATCGTCCCTTTGATGCGGTGAAGTTGTCCTGTCCCCTGAGCACAAAAACACCCCCAAACCATGTTTCCACCTCCATGTTTGACGGTGGGGATGGTGTTCTTGGGGTCATAGGTAGCATTCCTCCTCGTCCAAACACGGCGAGTTAAGTTGATGCCAAAGAGCTCCATTTTGGTCTCATCTGACCACAACACTTTCACCAAGTTATCCTCTGAATCATTCATATGTACATTGGCAAACTTCAGACGGGCATGTATATGTGCTTTCTTGAGCAGGGGGACCTTGCGGGCGCTGCAGGATTTCAGTCCTTCACGGCATAGTGTGTTACCAATTGTTTTCTTGGTGACTATGGTCCCAGCTGCCTTGAGATCATTGACAAGATCCTCCCGTGTAGTTCTGGGCTGATTCCTCACCGTTCTTATGATCATTGCAACTCCACGAGGTGAGATCTTGCATGGAGCATCAGGCCGAGGGAGATTCACAATTCTTTTGTGTTTCTTCCATTTGCGAATAATCGCACCAACTGTTGTCACCTTCTCACCAAGCTGCTTGGCAATGGTCTTGTAGCCCATTCCAGCCTTGTGTAGGTCTACAATCTTGTCCCTGACATCCTTGGAGAGCTCTTTGGTCTTGGCCATGGTGGAGAGTTTGGAATCTGATTAATTGATTGCTTCTGTGGACAGGTGTCTTTTATACAGGTAACGATCTGAGATTAGGAGCACTCCCTTTAAGAGTGTGCTCCTAATCTCAGCTCGTTACCTGTATAAAAGACACCTGGGAGCCAGAAATCTTTCTGATTGAGAGGGGGTCAAATACTTATTTCCCTCATTAAAATACAAATCAATTTATAACATTTTTGACATGCGTTTTTCTGGATTTATTTGTTATTGTCTCTCCCTGTTCAAATAAACCTACCATTAAAACTATAGACTGATCATTTCTTTGTCAGTGGGCAAACGTACAAAATCAGCAGGGGATCAAATACTTTTTTCCCTCACTGTATCAACGTTACAGCTGCAGGTGGGAACGTATCGACGTCACAGCCACACGTGGGAACGTATCGACGTCACAGCCACACGTGGGAACGTATCGACGTCACAGCAACACGTGGGAACGTATCGACGTGACAGCAACACGTGGGAACGTATCGACGTCACAGCCACACGTGGGAACGTATCGACGTGACAGCAACACGTGGGAACGTATCGACGTTACAAGCCGCTCCGTTTCAGATTTCCGTTTGTTAGTCTGCGACCGCCACCGTCGCTCGGCGACGGCAGAGGAGCTGTGCCGTCACGACCCACGGCGGAGCGCCGCAGTTCCTACCGACATGCTCTCCAGCGTCGTGCCAGTCAACCTCTCGCCATCGTTCAGTCACTGGCGCGTCACTCCCGTTACCACGACTACCGCAGTCTTCGCTCCCTTGATTTACAATGCTGCTATGATGTCTCTGCAATGCTAACCCCCCGCCCCCCCCCCCGACTCCACTCTCGTCCGGAACTGCGCTTAACGCGCGCACCGCTGCGGGTCGCCTCGCTTCTCTTTCCGCTTCTCCCTTCGCACTGCTCCCCTTTGGGATTCCCTTCTCCGACGTTCCGATAACCCCGTACGATCCCTAGCACTCTCTGTATGCTGGCGCTGCTGCTGTTGCTGCTGTTGCTGCCGGTGGCGGGCGGTGGTGGCCTTGGGTGGCGGTGGAGGGCAGGGTCGGGTGGCGGGGGTGTATAAAGTTTGGGTGGGTGGGGGGGGGGGGGGTGGCGCTTGTGAGATGGAGGGGATGATAGGGGGGGGGGCGTGGGCGACACCGCTTACCATCCTCGCTGAGACTGAGGTTCTGCAGCGACTTGTTGAGGCTGCGGGCCGTCGCCGCGTTGCCGATGGCGCGCAGGTTGCCGTACGAGCTCACGGGGCGCAGGCGCGACGACGCCAGCCCCTCGCGCGCCGGCGTCAGGCTGCCGGGGGGGTCTGGGGGGGACGGCGGTTTGGTCGGTGGGGGGGGGGGGATACGGCGTGGGGGGTGCGGGATGAGGGGTGGTTTGGGGTCGTCGGGGCGGCAAGGGATGTGGGCCTGGTTCGTCAGGTACCTTGACCCCTCACCCACCCGCACCCCGCACCCATAACCCCAGGTCTGAAATTCTGAAGCCCAGAATCTAAATAACGAAACGTGGAACCCGGTCCCTGGAATTTGAACTCTTGACCATCCCCACAACGCAAAATAGCTTCAAGCAAGGGACGCTTGGGAGTGAATTACGCAATCCAAATATATACGTATATATACGGTAAACCTAACGTTTCAGACCGTTATCCTTATTCATAGAGGAGAGTTTCACCCGACGAGTCGATCTCTCTCCCGCTATCGTCTGGGCGATCGTGACGACCGCGACCGCTTTCCCCGCCGGCGCCGCGACGAGGAAGACGCAGAGAGGCAGAGGTTGGTGCAGGAGGAAGAGGAGGAGGATTCGGTGAGGTGGAAGACAACAAAACAATCGGGAGAGAAAAAAGGAACGGCGCGAGGACAAAAAAATCACGGCGGGTGTTAACGAGCCTTGATTGGTCGTGGGTCGACGAGTGAATTGGGACGCGGAGCAAAACAAGTGGTGAAGGGGGTCCAACGAACGATGGCGCGGATGCCACCGCGACCTCTTGACCAACCCCCCCCCCCCCGCCCCACCCCACCCCACCCACAGCCGAGCCTGGCCCGGGACGAAACTCGACGAATCCAACTTAACGAGGGGAGAGAGAAGGAAAAAAAACGCGGCGCGCTCCCCTGCGGTTGACGGCAACGCGCCCGCAGAGTCTGCGGGCGAACGCGGACGCACGGAGCGGCCCGCCAATTACCCCACAGTGCACGCGTTCGTCAAAGCGCGAATCCATCCGTCGCGACGCTCAGGGTGCCCGACCGGCAACCACCATCATCACCATTACCATCATCGCCATTACCATCATCGCCATTACCGTCATCGCCATTACCGGCATCACTACCGGCGGCGGCAGTGTCAGCCGCAGCAATCCTTTGCGGTTGATAAATGACCGGCACCACATCGCAAGCAGCCGCGGCCGAGGATGAAAACTGCCACCTGACACCGGAACGTGGAATTTCCCAGCGATGGGCCCCAGAGCGGCGAGAGGCGTCAGTGCGTGCGCCCAGCGCGTGCCGAGAAAGCGTGGGCGCGCGATCGCCGGCGCGCACGACGGCATCGCCACGCTCCCCCCCGACCCTCAGCCCCTTCGCTCGCCCTCATTTCCCCGTCGTCAATTACACAACCGGGGATTGAATTGATTTAATTAATTTAATGAATGCAATCAATTTAATCAGTTTCAATAATTGATATTTCCGTTTAACCATTACAATATTTGTTGACTGGCATCATTATTAAATTTTCTAAAATAAACCAAAATTATGCTTAACAAATAATTAATGTAATGTTTGTCTGTTAAAATTACATTAATTAATCAAAAATTGTCTGTGGGACCTTTTTTGGCAGCAACAAGATGATACACCGGTGTAGTTTCAAAGACAGTGCATATTTTATCCGAGCACCTTAGGTTGCATGTTTTTGCCATGACGTGTGGTGAATGCAGACTTGATGTCTTGCAAAAGGTGCGTGGTCTATTCGGTGTGTGAACATCTTCTCCCGTTCTATTTCCAGAAAGGGTAAATCCTATTTTTTTTCATCGTTAAAAAAAATACATGATGGACGTAATTAAATTAATTTCCCCCCCATCGCTAATGAAGCCCTCCTCATTTCCCCGCGTTGTTAATCGACCACCCAGGGATCACGTGGCTAACTCCCAGAATGCCGTGCTTGCCTCACTAAAAACAAATCAACCACTCAATTGAGCAGTGTGATGGTTGCGTGCGCAGCACGTTGATGCTCGGTCATCAGCCACAATTAGAAAAAGGTTTTAATATTTTTTTTTAATGTCTCATGTCATTTCCCGCTCAAACGAACGTTCGGGTGTTGATTTGAAATTTCACTTTCCTAGGGTACGGTAGGGGAGGAGTCACAACATAGGGACAACAACTGTTGGCTTCTCCAAAAATTGGTACTAATTTTATCCCCCCCCCTTCGCCCAAAGACATGATGGGAGGAGGCACACCCTCCCCCCCTGCACCCCCCCCTGAACCCCCACCCCCCCCCCACCACTACACCACACCCCCGCCCCCAGACACTCGCTCCACCGCTGAGCCCGGCTACGCGACCTTTAATTAAATTATTAAATGAGACGATGCCGTTGCGGCAGTGTGGATGGGTGAATTAAAAGTGGCTCGCTTTGGCCACGTCAAAAGCTATCGCAGGCGAGAGCCTCGGCTTGACTCCTGGGCCCCCTCCCAGGAGAAGAGATTAACAATCATGTGCAGCGGCATTGATGGTTTTATCACAATCCTCGGTGAATAGGAAATTCAAAAGTGTATTCAATAAAAAATATTTTTTAATTTCCAAAACCTCCCACCCCCCACCACTGAATCTGCCTTTGTCCAACTCTTGACGACGGCCTTAATCGTATGACGGTTGCAGTGCAAAAATTTGCTCCGTGCCATCATCATCACCACCACCACCAAACATCGCCATAAACATTATCACCACCATTATCATCACCGCTTGTCATCGCCACCATTATCATAAACAACATTGTCATCAGTGATCATCACCATCATCACCACCACCACCATCGCCATCATCATCGTCATCGTCGTCAACAACGCCATAATTTTGGATGCACCGTGTTGCTCTGCTGCCAGCGAGCAAAGGTTGCGGTTGACCGCTGCTGCCACGTGGCTTTGACCAAACTCCGACCCGCTAGTCGCCCGGGAATAAACAAGCACGGAAACTGAACAACAAAAATGATTCCGCTGGAATGTGGACCCCGTTCAAACGCAGTCCTCCTGTATTGGAATATGAGGCGGCAGTGGGGGGTGATGTGGGGAGAAGGGGTGGGGGGGGGGCGGAGTCAATACGGAGAGGAGGCGCGGCAGGCTGAGCAACGGTACCTGCGAAGGTGGCGGGCGACAGCGCCGGGTGGTTGCGCTCCTCCTCCAGGAACTGCAGCGCCACCGTGCAGAAGTTCACCTCGTACTGCACCACCAGGTAGTGCAGCGCCACCACCATCTCCTGCCACACGGGTCGCGTGAAGGTTCGTGGTTAGGGGGTCATCGCAGGCTGTAGGGTACATCAATGATAATTATTAATTCAACTTGCAATGCGCTCGCTCTCTGGGAGACGGAGCGACTCAAAGAAGCGCCTGGAGGAGGAACCGCAGAGGAAGCGGGCAAGGCGGCAGCCGGCAGCCACGTGGTGGGACGCCGGCACAAAATCCCCCCCACCCCCTCCCCCAAGCTCTGCGGTCCGCTATAAATGAAGTTGTTACCGGCCGAGTGAGGGCAAACCGGAGCACCCAGAGAAATCCCCACACGTGCGAGGGGGCGAAACGCTCTATCCAATACGGCAGTGGATTACGGTCGCGGGAAACCCAGGATAAAACCACTGCGACTTTCGATTGGACGAAAGGGCCGCGATTTATATTTTTCATCCCCTCCGGCCCCACCCCTGCCCCCCAACTTGCCCCGCCCACCACTACCTCAACCCCCGCCTCCGGGGGGGAAAGGGCGGGGCTTAAAAATGGGAAGAGGCAGGGACTAAAGAATTAAGGGGCGGGTCTTAAAAAGGAAGGCACGGATCCGAAAGAGCAAGAGGAGATGGTGCTTGATTAGTTCGGAGGTGGGCCTAAAGAGGAAGGGGTGGAGCCTGAAGAGGAAGGGGTGGAGCCTGAAGAGGAAGGGGTGGAGCCTGAAGAGGAAGGGGTGGGGCTTGGAGAGGTTGAATTTCTCTGCTGAGTTTGGGTACCAGAAGCGTAGAATAAAATACGTGCAGCTGAGGCCACAGGCCAAACTCGTCATTTTACATTTTTTCTGCATACAACTCAAAGCATCTCCCTGCTGAAATGAGCTTGGTCTGGAGAAATTCGCCTATCGGCGGCCCTGAGCCATCATCACGGTCGTCATCATCGTCATCGTAATCATCAGCTGTGACCTATCCACTGTTGGACGGCGGCGTTGCCGACCTTGCGGACGATGGGGCTGCCGTCGTTGAGCAGCTGAGCGACGGTCATGGCGACGTTGTGGTCGAGGGTGGTGGCTTGGTCGCTCCGCTCCGCCGAGTTCCCGATGAATGTGCCGAGCGCAAACACGGCCGCGCTGCGCACCTAGCGTCGCACCGGCAACCGCACAACCGCGTTACACCACCACGCAGCACAACCACACCACCACGCAGCACAACCACACCACACCACCACGCAGCACAACCACACCACACCACCACGAAGCACAACACCACCACGCAGCACAACCACACCACACCACCACGCAGCACAACCACACCACCACGCAGCACAACCACACCACACCACCACGAAGCACAACCACCCCACCACGCAGCACAACCACACCAAACCACCACGCAGCACAACCACACCACCACGCAGCACAACCACACCACCACGCAGCACAACCACACCACCAGGCAGCACATCCACACCACGCAACACGTGCATTACCACTGCGACACGTATGCATGTCGCCACGGCGACACGCACACATTACCGCGGCGACACGTACGCACGTCGCCACGGCGACGCGCACGCGGGCTCAGTACCTCGGGCAGCGGGTCGGAGAGCAGCAAGTAGAGCTTCTCGTGCGCCGAGTCGCGCACGCCGCACCAGCGCGCCGCGTCGAAGTGCTGCCACATGCGGCCCAGGCACACGGCCACCCAGTGGCGCAGCAGCGGGTGGGGGTCGTTCAGCTGCTCCAGGCAGATGGCGATCAGGCTGCCCTGCAGGCACACCTCCTGCAGCAGCAGCAGCACCAGCAGCACCAGCAGCAAAATCAGGGAGCGGAACAAGGCAGCCGGGGCGGAAACAAGCAGTAGTGGCAGCGGCAGCAGCACCACCAACAGGAGCAGAAGCACCAACAACAGCGGCACCAGCAGTAGGAGAGGAACAAGCAGTAGCAAGAGCAGTGGCACCAGCAGGAGCAGTAGCAGCAGAAGCAGCAGCGTTACGGAGGAGAGCAGTTAAGCGGACTGTGCATCTGGAACAGAAGTATCATCATGGCCTCTCCTGACGAGGAAACGAATTCCAAAACTAGTCCAGAGTTTGCATGCGCTGAACCAATGCTGCTGCAATCATGCAGGAAGGACAGACGCGTCCCGTCCACTCATCTGGTCCGCCGCGTGTGGTCTCCGTCTCCACGGAGACGCTCGCCATCATTGTGGCTTCAACGCGGATAGATTCGATCCGTGGCTCGGTACGACCAGAGAGCCGTCATCTCGTCCCACGCAGAACCACTATCCGACCCGACTGGGAACTCTCTCGGAGACTAGGCATCGCTCACTCCACCAGGTGGTCTCCTTTGCCGTCCCCCCCCCAATCCCCCACCCCACACCGCCCTACCCCCTCACCTGTCCCGTCAGGTAGTTGTTGACGATTACAGCGAGGACAAAGGCGGCCATCGTGCGGTGGTCGGCCTGGAGGAAGTGCAGGGAGACACGCACGCACGCAGCGTCAACCATCACACGGCATCCACCGCCACACACAGCATTTACCGTCACGCGGCGTCTACCGTCACGCGGAACCCAAACTTTAGCCTAATGCTTAAACGTGAACACCGATTAAACATCGAACCCAACGCCAATGGTGACCCTAACCGAGCCCACGCTAACCTCCGTCCGAACACTAACCCCAGCAACAACCCTAGCCTTCACTAAACATCTAAATCCACAGCCGCTACTCCCCGACGGCGACGCAAGGCCCCATCGACGGCGCTCACGCGCTTCACGGCCGGGGCTCGCCTCTTAGCGCTCGCTTCAGGAGCCAAATGCGGCGGAAACCCACGAAACCTCCCACACGTCTCATCTCCGCAACTCCCGAGCCCTCGTTCTTAACCTTTCTTTTACTTGGCACTACGATCATGTTGTTGTGCTGTTGTAACGTTCTTACCCCGCCCCTACCGGACATCTGTGAAAAAGAGCTTTGTAGCTCGTCGGATTCCTCCTGCAGCAAAAATAAAAAAATCTTCTGATTCTGACAAACTCGTAGGGGGAAATGGACAAGCGGTCAGGGTTAGAGGTCACCAGGGCTGTCGCTGTGGTTTCCCTGGATTTTAATCTCGCCCACCGCTCAGTGATTCTGATTAACGCCAAGCACAGCTCGGGGGGGGGGGGGGGGGGGGCTACCCCTCGCTGAGCGAGTCGTCGATAATCAATCCTGCCCCTCTGCCCGCGTCGCTGTAGGGAAAGCTTTCCCATTTGTGTCCCATATCCTTGGTTCCCCTCCTCATCCTCCCACTGATTGTTGACACACACAGAGAGAGAGAGAGAGGAGTTGGTGGCCCCCCCAGCGGATCGCACCGAAGTCTCGCGGCGCCTGCCGCGGCCGACTTGCACGGACGCGAGTGCGCGCGCACGTACGTGTCTGTCTGTGTTGGTGGAACGATAGCGCTGCTCGACGACCCGAGTTGGATTCCCCCTCACGGCCAACACCGGTGCTGATGATCTGAACCGGTTCTAAGGCCTCCGCTAGTTCGACCTGGTGCGGTGTGCAAACATCGCCACAAGGGAGACAAAGGCGGCCGGGCGTGGTGCCGGCCACCAACCCCCTCGTGTGCCGTGCCGGTCTTCATAAGTGCTACTCGCTAACAGCACTTGCCCCAACAGTTTGTTTGGGCTATAGGGGGGGTCTTTGCCTGTCTGTGTGCCATTGAGGTACAAAGCCTACCTCAAGTTAAGAGCAAGCAGGGACGGTGACCGGTGATCACCAGCACATACAGCAAGTACTTACGGGCATGTAGGGGTCAGCCAGCACCGACAGGAAGTACTTGTGTCCACCATCCTTGACGAGGTCTGCCTGGCAAGACTGTTACACACGGTGGAGGAGATAACATACGGTTGACACGCCGATACCTCGGCGTTACCCCGGCAATACCCCAGCATTACCACGGAGTGAACGGCGTTACTGAGGTAGATGTTGTTACCGAGGCACGGGATGGCACCGTGCTACAGTGGCACGGCACGCAATGTTGCTGTGGCCCAACCACACGTGCATGAGTGTGCGAGTGCACGTGCGTGTTTGCACGCGCGCGTGAACAAAGACAAAGATCCCGTGTAGCCTTAACAGACTGTTGGGCCAAGTGCTGTTAGCGAGCACCTATGAAGGCCGGAACGGTACACGAGGGGGTGGGTGGCGAGAAACACGTCCGGCCGCCTTTGTCTCCCGAGTGGCGATGTTTACACATCGCACCAGGTACTTATTTGAGGCCGAGTTAACCTAGGGGAGGCCCAGAACCGGTTCAGATAATCCATGACTAGTGTTGGCCGTGAGTGGGAATCAAATTCGGCCCCCCGCGTTCGTAGCGCATCGCGCTAACCGCTCCCCACACACACACACACACTCGCGCGCGCACGCACGGGCATACGTACGCTGTCGACGGCCAGGATTTTGGCCCAGATGAAGACGAGGAGGGGACGCAACTCCCGGGCCGAGCTCTGCAGCAGCTTCAGCACGTACGGGAAAATCCCTACGGATAGCGCCTGCACACACACACACACAAAACGGTAAAGCGCTCCCCCCCCCCAACCCCCGCCCGGGGGCCATGCGCAGCCTCAACAAACGGTTGGGGCAAGTGCCGTTAAGTAAATATGAAGGCCAAAAAGGCAACAAAAGGGGGTGGTGCAGTGAGCATCACGCCCCGGCCGCCTTTGTCTCCCTGGTGCTGACGTTGACAGGGGTACAGGCTTAAGCGTAGGTCAACCGCGCGGAGGCTGAAGGACGGATTGGGCATTGCTCGTCACTGCTGTCCGCAGTGGGCAGGAAATGGAACTCGGGTTGCTGTGTTTGTAGCCGAGCATGCTGACCGCCGCACCACCGCTCCACCCGACGGCTCGGGTCTGCTTCCTCGTTGGGGGTGCGAACACAGCAGCAGCACCAGCAGCGCCAGCAGCACAAACAGCACCACAGCAGCAGCACAGCAGCAGTAGCGATGTGGGGTGGGAGACCCCTCACCAGGCTCACGGCCCAGGGGCCCAGGTCCAGGAAGCGGCCCAGGAGGTCGAGCGCTCGCAGGCGATGCACCTGGCTGAGCAGCACCTGGGTGCATTGCACGGGGACATAGACGGGGTGGAGGAGGATGGAGAAAGGGTGAAGGATGAGTACGAGGAGGTGGGAGTAGAGGGGAGGAAGAAGAAGAGGTGGAGGAAGAATATTGAAAGGAGGGGGGGGGGTAGACAAAAGGGGAAGTGAGTGGGAGGGAGAGGAGGAGGAAGGGGGGAGAGGAAAAGGAGTTCAAGGCAGAATAAAGAATTAACATAGGGCAGCACGGTACGGACGCTCGGCTCCAACGGTGCCGCACAAGTGCAGAGTCTGTCTGGGGTAAGTGCGCTGGTCAAAGTAAGCGGTTGACAATCACAAGGTGAAGGGGAGGGGAGGGGCTGGGGGTGGGTCCGTGAGGTGGGGAGGTGGGGGTCTGCTCACCTGCAGGACGATGGGCAGCTGCTCGGGGGGGTTCCTGTTCTCCACGCCAATCGTCAGCCACACCTGGAATGCGGTCAGCTGCTCGGCGAAGAATGGGCTGTTCTGTGGGGCACACGGGCACGCACGGGCGCGCGCACACGCACGCACACACCACCAACAACAACCGACACACACGCGCCTCCAACAACCATCACTAACACACACGCACCGCCAAAACCGTCACTCACACACACACACTGCCAAAACCGTCACACACGTGCCGACAACAACCCTCACGCACACACCACCAACAAATGTCACACACACGCCGCCAACAACCATCACACTCACACCGTCAACAACCATCACACACACACCGTCAACAACCATCACACACACCGTCAACAACCATCACACTCACACTGTCAACAACCATCACACACACCGTCAACAACCATCACACACACACTGTCAACAACCATCACACACACCGTCAACAACCATCACACACACCGTCAACAACCATCACACACACACCGTCAACAACCATCACACACACCGTCAACAACCATCACACACACACCGTCAACAACCATCACACACACACTGTCAACAACCATCACACACGCCGCCAACAACCATCACACACACACCGTCAACAACCATCACACACACACCGTCAACAACCATCACACACACACACTGTCAACAACCATCACACACATGCCGTCAACAACCGTCACACACACCGTCAACAACAATCACACACACCGTCAACAACCATCACACACACACCGTCAACAACCATCACACACACCGTCAACAACAATCACACACACACCGTCAACAACCGTCACACACACCGCCAACAACCATCACACACATGCCGTCAACAACCATCACACACACACACTGTCAACAACCATCACACACACACCGTCAACAACCATCACACACACCGTCAACAACCATCACACACACTGTCAACAACCATTCCACATATGCCACCAACAACCATCACACACACACCGTCAACAACCATCACACACACACCGTCAACAACCATCACACACACACCGCCAACAACCAACACACACACCGTCAACAACCATCACACACACCGCCAACAACCATCACACACACACCGTCAACAACCATCACACACGCACCGTCAACACACACACCGTCAACAACCATCACACACACACACTGTCAACAACCATCACACACACACTGTCAACAACCATCACACACACGCCGTCAACAACCATCACACACACACCGTCAACAACCATCACACACACACTGTCAACAACCATCACACACGCCGTCAACAACCATCACACACGCCGTCAACAACCATCACATACACACCGTCAACAACCATCACACACACACCGTCAACAACCATCACACACACCGTCAACAACCATCACACACACACCGTCAACAACCATCACACACACTGTCAACAACCATCACACACACCGTCAACAACAATCACACTCACACCGTCAACAACCATCACACACACACCGTCAACAACCATCACACACACCGTCAACAACCATCACACACATGGCGTCAACAACCATCACACACACACTCTCAACAACCATCACACACACCTTCAACAACCACTCCACACATGCCGTCAACAACCATCACACACACGCCGTCAACAACCATCACACACACACCGCCAACAACCATCACACACACACCGTCAACAACCATCACACACACACCGTCAACAACCATCACACACACACCGTCAACAACCATCACACTCACACCGTCAACAACCATCACACACACACCGTCAACAACCATCACAAACACCGTCAACAACAATCACACACACACCGTCAACAACCGTCACACACACCGCCAACAACCATCACACACATGCCGTCAACAACCATCACACACACACCGTCAACAACCATCACACACACACCGCCAACAACCAACACACACACCGTCAACAACCATCACACACACCGCCAACAACCATCACACACACACACCGCCAACAACCATCACACACACACCGTCAACAACCATTCACACACACACCGTCAACAACCATCACACACACACCGCCAACAACCAACACACACACCGTCAACAACCATCACACACACCGCCAACAACCATCACACACACACCGTCAACAACCATCACACACACACCGTCAACACACACACCGTCAACAACCATCACACACACACTGTCAACAACCATCACACACACACTGTCAACAACCATCACACACGCCGTCAACAACCATCACACACACACCGTCAACAACCATCACACACACACTGTCAACAACCATCACACACGCCGTCAACAACCATCACACACGCCGTCAACAACCATCACACACACACCGTCAACAACCATCACACACACCGTCAACAACCATCACACACACACCGTCAACAACCATCACACACACTGTCAACAACCATCACACACACCGCCAACAACCATCACACACACACCGCCAACAACCATCACACACACACCGTCAACAACCATTCACACACACACCGTCAACAACCATCACACACACACCGCCAACAACCAACACACACACCGTCAACAACCATCACACACACCGCCAACAACCATCACACACACACCGTCAACAACCATCACACACACACCGTCAACACACACACCGTCAACAACCATCACACACACACTGTCAACAACCATCACACACACACTGTCAACAACCATCACACACGCCGTCAACAACCATCACACACACACCGTCATCAACCATCACACACACACTGTCAACAACCATCACACACGCCGTCAACAACCATCACACACGCCGTCAACAACCATCACACACACTCCGTCAACAACCATCACACACACCGTCAACAACCATCACACACACGCCGTCAACAACCATCACACACATGGCGTCAACAACCATCACACACACACTCTCAACAACCATCACACACACCTTCAACAACCACTCCACACATGCCGTCAACAACCATCACACACACGCCGTCAACAACCATCACACACACCGCCAACAACCATCACACACACACCGCCAACAACCATCACACACACCGTCAACACACACACCGTCAACAACCATCACACACACACCGTCAACAACCATCACACACACACCGTCAACAACCATCACACACACACTGTCAACAACCATCACACACACACTGTCAACAACCATCACACACACACCGTCAACAACCATCACACACACACCATCAACAACCATCACACACACACATCGTCAACAATCGTCACATACATGCACGCCACGAACAACCGTCACACACACAGACGTCATCAACAACCGTCACACACACACACACCGCCAACAACTGCCGCACACACACATTGTCAACATCCGTCACTAACACACCAGCTGTCAAACACACGCATGCACCACCAACAGCCACCACCAGGCACACGTTCGCGCAAACACACGCACACACACGCACGCACACACGCACCCACTGTCAAAATCTGTCAAAGAATACAAGCACCAACAATCATGGCACACGCCACGCGCTTCACCGGTAACCATCAATGACATATGCATATAATAAAACAAAGACCTCCTGTATAGCCTCTAACAGACTGATGGGACAAGTGCTATTAGCGAGCGCCCTATGAAGGCCGGCAAAGCACAATAATGTGCTGGCCACCCAGCACCACACCCGGTTGCCTTTTGTCTCCCCAATCCCGATGTTTACAAACCACACCAGGTACTGATTTAAGGCTGAGTCGACCTAGGGGAGGCCCAGCACCGATTGAGATATTCGTCAACGGTGTTGGTGGCCGTGAGCAGGAATTAAACTCGGGTCGCAGGGTTCCGTAGCGCAGCGCGCTAACCACTGCGCCACCGCTCCCCATAGGCGCACACAAACACCCCCCCCCCCTTATAGCCTTAACATTGTTGAGACAAGCGCTGTTAGCGAGCACCTATGAAGGCCGGCACGGCACACGAGGGGGTGGGTGGCCAGCACCACGCCCGACTGCCTTTGTCTCCCCAATGGCGATGTTTATACAGTGGCACCGGGTACTCATTTGAGGCTCAGTCGACCTAGGGGAAGCCCAGGACCGGTTCTGATATCTGCAAGTTTTTCGCTGTAAGCGGGAATCGAACTCAAGTCGCTGGGTTCGTACTGCAGCTCGCTAACCACTAACCTGCCGCTCGTGCACGCACGCTCACGCACAGACACACGTGCTCACACATACACACGCATGCTCACACATACACACGCATGCGCATACACACGCTCACGCACACAGATGCACGCTTACAGACACACACGCGCTCACGCACACACAAACGCTCACGCACACACGCGCACACACACACGCACACACACACGCTCACGCACACACACGCACACACACACGCTCACACACACACACACGCTCAAGCACACAGAAATGCACGCGCTCGCAGCTTCTTCATTAGTGTCTACTGCGCGTACAGCCCCTGTGCATGTACGACCGCCCGCCAAAAAACGTGTCCGGACATTTCAAGTAGGAAATCATTCCCATCGTCCCGCCGAGCTCCCTCATGGCCTCCTCACGGTCGTCGCCGTTTCATCATCGTCGCCATCTCGCCTCAGACGACCACAATACCACCCCCCCATACCACCCCCTCCCAACCACCCCCCCACCCCACCCCCCCCCGCTTCAATCGCACCCACAGATCGGCTTTGGCGCAAATGACACGATCACTCACGGCCCCCCCCCCTGACCCCAACCCTTCGTACGGGGGGCTCAGCGGCCCTCACGGAATATTCACACATGGGATGGAAGGGATAGGAGGGAGGTGGAGGGGGGGAGGGAGGGAGGCAGGGAGGGAGGGAGGGAGGCTGAACAGACCCTGAATGCGTTGCTGTCCTCGATGATGGTCGGCAGCGGGGAGAGGCAGATGTCCACGGCAAGATCCCACGCCTGCCTGTGTGTCCAGGCGTGTGCGTCCGTGCATGCGTCCGTGCGTGTGTCCATGTATGTGCGTCCATGCACGAGCGTGCGTGTGTCCGTGCGTGTGTGTACGTGCGTGTATGCGTGTCAGTGCACGTGTGTGTGTCCGTGCGTGTCCGTGCGTGTGTGTGCGTGTCCGTTCGTGTGTGTGTGTCCGTGCGTGTGTGTGTCCGTGCGTGTGTGTGTGTCCGTGCGTGTGTGTGTCAGTGCGCGTGTGTGTGTGTCCGTGCGTGTGTGTGTCCGTGCGTGTGTGTGTGTCCGTGCGTGTGTGTGTGTGTGTGTCCCCGTGCGTGTGTGTCCGTGTGTGTGTGTGTGTCCGTGTGTGTGTGTGTGTCCGTGTGTGTGTGTGTCCGTGTGTGTGTGTGTCCGTGCGTGTGTGTGTCCGTGCGTGTGTGTGTGTGTCCGTGTGTGTGTGTGTCCGTGTGTGTGTGTGTCCGTGTGTGTGTGTGTCCGTGCGTGTGTGTGTCCGTGTGTGTGTGTGTGTGTGTCCGTGCGTGTGTGTGTGTGTGTGTCCGTGCATGTCCGTGTGTGTGTGTGTGTGTCCGTGTGTGTGTGTGTCCGTGTGTGTGTGTCCGTGTGTGTGCGTGTGTGTGTCCGTGTGTGTGTCCGTGTGTGTGTCCGTGTGTGTGTGTGTCCGTGTGTGTGTGTGTCCGTGTGTGTGTGTCCGTGTGTGTGCGTGTGTGTGTCCGTGTGTGTGTCCGTGTGTGTGTCCGTGTGTGTGTGTGTCCGTGTGTGTGTGTGTCCGTGTGTGTGTGTGTCCGTGTGTGTGTGTCCGTGTGTGTGTGTGTCCGTGTGTGTGTGTGTGTGTCCGTGCGTGCACGATGCAGAGGAAGGGAGAACGAGAACGTGAGAGGCGCCGAACATTTGGTCGCACGCCCGGCGCCTAACGCCAAACGAGAGCACCGGCACACGGGAAGAATCGATGGGCGGCCACGAGCTCGGGACGAACTTGGTTTTTTTATGGGGGGGGGGGGGGGGGGGGGGCGCTCAACTGAGTTGTTCAGCAAAAACTCGCAGCTGTGAGGTCGCGAGTTCAAATTTAGATCATCAACGGGGCACAAACATCAAGTCACCGCAATCACCGCCAGCAGCGGCAGCATCGCCGTCGTCATGATCACCACCGTTGTCCTTTTACGGTCATTGAAATGCGCGTTGAATCGAGAGGACCTCGTGATTGCCCCGCCGAGCCTCACGGATTTGTTTTCTGGAGGCTCCCGCCGCCAAATCTTTGCGGGAGGTGGGGATGGAGCGGGGCAACGGTACGGTTGCTGTACGTGCATTCTCCGACCGACGACGGGCACGCAGCGACCCACACCCGTGCGAACGGCGTTGGCGGGATCTTTTTTAAACGTCCGCTGCGAAGCGACAGGCGGCGCGCGTTTTGTCGTCGCGGTTGTCGTTGATGACGGGTCACGCTCGTCACGCGCACGCGAAGCGTTCGCCGGAAACGAAGCGCGACAACCTCTCCTTTCCCGTCAAGGAGCGTAAACCATCGCGCGCTCCGGCTCCGTCCTAGCAGCAGCGTAACCTCGCCTTTGCCGTCAAGGAGCGTAAACCATCGCGCGCTCCGGCTCCGTCCTCGCAGCAGCGTCGGCTTTTGGCTGGCCGTCGGAACAAAGATGGTCACCGCGCCCCGCGTGTTCTTCCGATATAAGGAAGCAGCTGGAGCTATGCAATTATAAATGTAAATTGAAAACTCATTTCTTCACAGGTGCTTTTTGTGTTTAGTTTTGCCGTCCTTCCCTCACGCCTCTGATTAGCACGGTTGGCTACGTACGGTGCGAAAGAAGTTAAGCATACATATACTCGCACAGAGACCCATAGACTCACACAGAGCACCATAGACTCACACAGAGACCCATAGACTGACACAGAGACCCATAAACTCAAGCAGAGACCCACAGACTCACACAGAGACCCATAGACTCATGCAGAGACCCATAGACTCACGCAGAGACCCATAGACTCACGCAGAGCCCCATAGACTCACAAAGAGACCCATAGACTCACACAGAGACCCATAGACTCACACAGAGCACCATAGACTCACACAGAGACCCATAGACCCACACAGAGACCCATAGACTCACACAGAGACCCATAGACTCACACAGAGACCCATATACTCACACAGAGACCCATAGACTCACACAGAGACCCATAGACTCACACAGAGCACCATAGACTCACACAGAGACCCATAGACTCACACAGAGACCCATAAACTCACACAGAGACCCATAGACTCACACAGAGACGCATAGACTCACGCAGAGACCCATAGACTCACACAGAGACCCATAGACTCACACAGAGACCCATAGACTCACGCAGAGACCCATAAACTCACACAGAGACCCATAGACTCACGCAGAGCACCATAGACTCACAGAGAGACCCATAGACTCACACAGAGACCCATAGACTCACACAGAGACCCATAGACTCACACAGAGACCCACAGACTCACACAGACCCATAGAACCTCTGCAACGGGGCGGCGGGTGCGCTACCGCCGGGCTCCAGTTAAGTTTAAAACCAAAGTTCAAATAAATCAGAAGCTTTTAGAGTCTTCATCACTTAACCCCCCCACAGATTTTGCACCTTGGCTCTGTCCATGATAATTACTCAACAAAATTGGCATCGGATTCTCCGATTGCTTACTTAACTTCATTTCACTGCCTTAAGTAAATATAAATGAATAAAAACATTTGCTGTCTTCCCCCAGCATCTTGCGGTACCTCGACCTTTCCCAGACAAAAGTATATTCGTGTTCGGTCCCTCGTTTCCTCCCATCACATGGCTAAGAACTCTCAACTCGTTTTTCTCTGATTGTTCTCGTAAATTTTTAATAAATCTGGCCAAAATCCAGCTTCCGAGATTTTAAAAGAACAATTCTATTCCATCGACTCGCAGGCAATGCGCTGATCACCGGGGCTACACAAGAAGAGTGTGAATGCGATGTTCACTAAAGGGGGCGGGGGCCCTGAGAATTTCCAGGGCCGTCCTCTAACAATGGCGGGCGCCGCGGCGGGCGCCACTCGCTAGCGGAAATGAATTTGTCTCGTCGTGACAACTCTCCAATATCGGCACACACAACCGGAATGAAACTCTGGAGAGGCGAAAAGAGCACACGAGAGGGAGGGGAGGGGATGGTTGTGGGGGGGGGGGTGGCGGGTGGCGGGGGGGGGGGGGGGGTGGCGGGAGGAGGGGGGGGTACTACAAATAAAAAAAATCAAGGGGAAGAGACATTTTTCAATCGTCGCGGCCAAAAAGTCAACGGGGAAGATGTTGCACCTCGTTGCGCCGAATATCTAACGTCTGCCAGCCGTCGCCTTGCGCTGGGATCAATTTTCGTTGGGGGGGGAGGGGGAAGGGAGGAGGGGGTCGAGGGTGGTGGGGGAGTTGGGGGGGGGGCAGCAGAAGCCGCGGTATATTCAGGCGTCGTACGAAATGAAGATTTTCCCTCTTTTCTCCCGCGGCATGGAAATTGGTGCGATCGAGCGGGGGAGGGCTGGGAGGTTGTGTTGGAGGGGAGGGGGGGGAGCATTTGCTCATCTCTCTGGAAGTGACCGTAACGGTGAGAAAATACGATATTAATTTCGATTATAGGAACGGCGCTGACATTAACGCTGCCTGACAGCGGTGAAATTGACGGTGGGTGATTGGGGAAGGGGGGGGGGGGGTGTTCGGGGGGAGGTGGGGAGGCACCACGGTGGGGAGCGTGCAGCCCTGCAGTGGTGACCTGTGGCACCGGGCTAACGAGTGGGTGATGAGGTCTGGGGTGACGAGGTCTGGGCTAACGAGTGGGTGATGAGGTCTGGGCTAACGAGTGTGTGACGAGGTCTGGGGTGACGAGGTCTGGGCTAACGAGTGTGTGACGATGTCTGGGGTGACGAGTGTGTGACGAGGTCTGGGGTGACGAGGTTTGGGGTGACGAGGTCTGGGCTAACCAAGTCTGGGCTAACGAGTGTGTGACGAGGTCTGTGCTAGCGAGGTCTGGCTAACGAGTGTGTGACGAGGTCTGGGGTGACGAGTGTGTGACGAGGTCTGGGGTGACGAGGTTTGGGGTGACGAGGTCTGGGCTAACCAAGTCTGGGCTAACGAGTGTGTGACGAGGTCTGTGCTAGCGAGGTCTGGCTAACGAGTGTGTGACGAGGTCTGGGGTGACGAGTGTGTGACGAGGTCTGGGGTGACGAGGTTTGGGGTGACGAGGTCTGGGCTAACCAAGTCTGGGCTAACGAGTGTGTGACGAGGTCTGTGCTAGCGAGGTCTGGCTAACGAGTGGGTGACGAGGTGTGAGCTAACGAGTGTGTGACGAGGTCTAGGCTAACGAGTGGGTGATGAGTCGGGTTTCTAGGTCTGGGCGGTAGAGCAAGTGATTAATGTGAGGTCTGGGCTATATAATGGGTGTTGAGTTGAGCTCTCGTTCTGGGCACCAGGTGTGGTTTTAATCCCCTCTGGAGACCCAGACCAGGGATTAGGAGACGTGCAATCAGCACAGGGAGTCCAACTGCAAGCACTCCGCGTACCACGACGAGAGAGCGAGAGGGAGGGAGGGAGAGTGAGATAGGAGAGAGAGGCGAGAAAGGCTCACCACATGGGGTGGTGGTACATTGAGGGCAGCTTGGGGCAGCTCATGGGCGTGCAGTTGTACGTGCGCATGATGCGTTCCGCCAGCAGGAAGTTGCGGAAGAGGCTGGCCACCAGCAGATCCTGGCGGAAGAGCTTCTGGAAGAGATCTGTGAAGGCCGGAAGAGGAGGAGGAGGAAAGGTGCAGCGCTCGCATTAGCGACGAGCGCAACATGTGGCCGTCACCGCCACCTCGCCTCCCACCCAACCTGGAAAAGGTCAACCAGGGTCGCCGTGAAAGCTGAGCTCACCTCGAGGGAGGACGTTCCACGCGATGGTGTCGGTGATTGCCGTGAAAATCCAGTTGAGCTCGCCCAGAGGGGTCCTCCTGTCGTTTAGGCGTCCGGGGATCCTGCCGGGGGAAAATTCATCACCATCAGCAGCAGCAGCAGCAGCAGCTATGATCGATCCGTTGCTGGATGAAGGACAGCCCGAGCCGTCGCGGTCTCGCGACGCAACAAAGGATCCACCACTGCGAAGTTTGGATCCACTTGCCTCCGTGTCCACGTGCAAGTCGGCAATATAATCGTGCGTGCGAGGCGGGGGCGCCAACGCACCGACCGCAAGCTACGCTCCCACGCTCGGCCAGGGGCTCCCAAACCGTAGGCACAATGGTCATGTTGCTTTTCGACTTCCAGATTACAACAAGCGCTCCGACCTGCTCTCGTCCACCTCTTCAAGTGATGATGTTCAAAAAGTTAAACGCACGCACGCGCACAGCTTGCACAAACACTATGTACACACGCACGTGTGTGAAAACACACTCACACATACACACGCGCTTGTATATATATACGCACACAAGACAGAGATCCCCTGCAGAGACTTTGACGAGTGCTGTTAGCGAGTAGCAGCGCCCATGAAGGCCGGCACGGCACATGAGGGGGTGGGTGGCAAGCACCACGCCCGGCAGCCTTTGGTCCCCCCAGTGACGATGTTTGCACGCCGTACCCAGCGCTCATTAAAGGCCGAGTCGACCCGAGGGGAGGCCCAGGACAGTATTCGTCACTGGATGCTGGCAGTACGTACACGGGAACTGAACTCGAGTCGTCGGGTTCGCGAGCGCAGCGAGCTAATCACTGAGTCACCGCTGCCCACTAAGACACAGCTTTGTCCATATAGCCTTCGGCAGACTGTTGGGCCAAGTGTTGTTAGCGAGCACTTGTGAAGGCCGGGACGGAACACGAGCTCCTCAAACCGTCCGGGCAGCATCAGTGGCTCGCGCGATCGAGGGGTGGGGGGAGGTGGGGAGGGGGATGGGGGGTCCATTTAGTTATCTAACAAAACTAATTAATTTCTTCAATTACCCAAACAATCTGCAGAAATGACCCTTTAACGTTTTCCCCGGCGCTCTAATTTGCCGGGCGATACAAAAGAAACAAAAAACGCAGCGTTGCCAAGGGGTGCTCCGCGGTTTTGGAGCGTGGGGAGAACAACCTTCCCCCCCCCAACACCCCCCCCCACTTGCTGCATCCCTCCCCCCACCCCCTCGCTAACTCAGAGTTCAATTTCGTTCCTCGCCGTCGCGTTTGCCGCTTTGGCGGCGGCCGTCACGACGCGCGTCCCCCGCTTTGTGCGTCAGGTCGTGACGTTCGTCTCTGTTCCCGATCGTGCGTGAACGCGCGAGCTAACGCCGGCACGCGCGCGCGTAAGCGAGTGAGTCACGGAGCTGGGGGTTTTTTTTTTTTTTTAAACAGAGTAGGCACAAAGGCGAGCAACGACGCGGCGACAGAAACAATCGGCGAAAACAAATCACCCGTGACGAAACGCCACTCTGGTGTTCTTTTTAGAGCGAGCGACCCGGCCAACGTAGCCGGGGGATAAACGTGTGCCGTGTGTGACGATTGGCCGCTCGCGATTTGCTCGCCAGAGAGACTCATCGGTGGATTGTGACATTGCGAGTTGATTTATTTTATAAAATAACACTGTTCCTAAAGATGTTTATCTTCTTCATCATGCAGGACTAGTCACAGTGGAGGACCGGTTTAATTTTTTTTCATTTATTAGGTATAACCCTGTGAGCGATGCGACTCTCAACTCGGATGCAACCGCAACAAAACAAAAACATGAACAAGAAACATCTTAAAGTGACTACACGCAACAGAAAAATCTTTGGAGAATCTGACAAAGCAAGAGGATGGACTCCTACTTCTCGATGAGGTCCAGGGTGACACCAGGCACCAGCTTGCCACTGCTCTGGCTGCAGAACCTGCCACGAACGCACACACGCACACACACAGACGCACAAAACAAACATACCCCCTTTAGACAGTGTTCTCAATCATTATTATTAGTCCACGTGCTTGTATAATTATTATTAGAGTCCATGTTTTCACCCAGGAGAGCCTCACCAAAGATTTATTTCAGGAGGTACCTGCCAGGTTTTCACAGTTGGGGGGGGGGGGGTTAGTGGGGGCGATGGTGCTCGGCGTAATCCCAACCGAGTAATTTACAGATGCGTTTATTAAATCGTACGTTTCAGAGACAGTTAGCGGGGCGGTGATAGCGCAAAGAAGTGGCTTATCGTGTGGAAATTGATAGCAGTCGAATACTCTAAACGTGGAGGGAAAAACCCGGAGGAGCCAGAGAAAAATCCACACGACCACGGGGAGAAAGAGAGAGAGAGACATGCAAACTCCAAACAAACAAGTGTCAGGGTTGGGATCGAACCCTCCTGTATACCAGGCAAAGTAGTTAACATTTCGCCACCGCTGGGCCCAATTAAGCGAGCAAGATGGTCGGCGGGCAGGCGGGCGAGAGAGCGAGCATGTGGATGGCGGACGGGCGGACGCACCACCGCAGGGAGATCTTGATGGGCGTGGTGAGGCAGGAGGTGAAGAGGTCGGCGGGCAGCTCGGGGTTCATGGGCAGCAGCTGCGACGCCTCGCAGGCGGCCAGCTGGATGCAGTCGCGCATCGACGTCGGGGGCATCCCCACCTGCGACAGCGGGTGGCTCGGGCTGATGGTCGACACCTGCCGGTGGTGGGGGGGGGGGGGGAGGGGGGAGGGTGTTCCAGGGACGCGGCAAGGCCAAGAGGTCAGGGGCGGTCAAGGTCGCGTTCACGGCGGAGCGGGCGTGAAACCGGGTCGCCGGGACCGCAGCGCGGCTTGGAAAGCCGAGCAAAATGCCAATGACAGCGACGCTTATATTGTGGGTACAAAGACAAAGAGCCCCCCCCCCCCCCCAGTGTAGCCTTAACAGACTGTATGGGGCAGTTTCTGTTAGCGAGCAGCACCTATGATGGTCGACACGGCACACGACGGGGGGGGGGGGGGGGGGGGGGTGGTGGTGGGTAGCACCACCCCCCCCACCCCCCGGCCGCCTTCGTCTCCCCAGTGGCGCGAGTTTCCGTGAACAGCTCGTGCGGTGACACGGGGTAAAAAGCAGTCAAAAAAAAACACAGGTGCGGGAGGGCGGAGCTGCGTACATTACAGGAGCCTTGGGATGAAGAGTCCGCAGAGAGGGAAGCAAGAGTCGCGTTGCGGACCGACGTCTGCCATGCGACAGGAGAGAGAGAAAAAAAACACAACGCTCCGAGTGAGATTAATATAATTATCAGATTCCATTCCAACTGCGGCCCCGCGTCGGCTGCGCGTGCTCCATTTCCAACTCTTGACAATCGCGAACAACAAAAGAGGATGAGAGCGGCAGAGAGGCGGGGGGGGGGGAGAGAGAGGAGGAGGGCGGGGGGTGCGGCGGGAGGGGGGGGGGGGTTCTGCCGAGGACGCGGAGACATTTGGCGGCGTAGAGATGATGCGGAGAGGTGAGCGCGAGGCGAGAGAGAGGCGGCGGTGAACGAGCAAAGGGGATGCGCAGCGATGGAAAGACCGGGGGAGTGAACGTCACGGACGAGCACACGTGCAAGTAGGCCGTGAGACGTAGAGACACCAGACACCGGACGCACACAAAGTGTACACGGCTGCGGAGGGCATGGGAACATGCAGGCTGGTCACTCGTTCGCGATGGAACGCAAGAGAACACGTTGACACGCACACAGACGTACGAAAAAATACGCAGAGACGGATAAAAGATGGCGAAGACGGACGCGCGAAACAAGCACACGCCGGACAAATACACAAACGCATGCTCACAAAAACGAACGCAAACACGGACATGCAAAAGCACACCGAACATAAACACGCACACCCCAGGCAAACGCACAATCACGCGCACGCACAAAACACACAATGTCACACACACAAACAACTGACAAACAATGTCACACACATACATACACACACTACACTCATCAGACAAAGATCCCCCGTATAGCCTTAACAGACTGTTAAGGCACCTATGAAGGCCGGCACGGCACACGAGGGGCTGGGTGGCCACCATCACGCCCGGCCGGCCTTTGTCTCCCGAGCGGCGATTTTTAACACACCGCACCAGGTACTCATTTGAGGCTGAGTCAACCTAGGGGAGGCCTAGAACCGTTTCAGATAATCGTCAATTGTGTTTGGCCGTGAGCATAAATCGAATTCGGGTCGCCGGGTTTGTAACTCAGCGCACTAACTGCTGCACTACCATCCCCCACGACACCACATAACACACACACACATGCGCACACACTTGCACGCGCACGCATACCGCACCTCGAGCTCCTGCTCCCTCTGCAGAGAGAACTGCAGGAAGGACTTGACGATGATCCCGGCATTGGAACAGTCGTACACGAAGATGGAGGGGCTGCCCATCCACGTCTGCAGGTCGTAGATGGACAGCGGGATGTACTGCGTGAAGTTCTGCGACCGGGGGAACACGAGCGCGGAGGGCGTTGAGTGACGAAAGGCCGCCAGGGCCGGCAACGGCCGGCGGCCATCGCGAGCGGCCGGGCGCCGGTGCGACGAGGCGCCGTCGATGCACGGGCGGCGGGATTGGTCGCGAGACCGCGCGCGAGCAAACGGGATCGAGATAGGGATTCGGAGAGTGTACTCGCGGATCGGACGACATCATGATCGCGATCATCGCGAGAGCGTCATCGTGGAGCGGACGTCATCACGATGGTGATCGTTGCAAAAAAACCTAATCACGGAGCAGATTACATCACGGTCACAATCATCGCAAGGGCGAGATCATGATGAGAGTTCCAGATGGCGTGATAAGGCTGGGAACATTACAAAAGTGCTGGACGGAGACGGTAAGTGTAATCACAACAATTTTTTTTTTTTTAAAGTGACCGGGCCCGCAGACGACTCGATGAATCTCAAGACACTCTCTTTGTGGAGAGTCTTGCATTGAGACGTGTGACCAATTCCACTTCAAGCAGAGGTTCGGCTTCGAGTGGGAGCAAACCGGGAGGGGAGCACCCGGAGAAAAGCTTCCACGCGCACCACGAGGGGATAACAGCAGTTTGCGATCCGAGAGATGGGAGCAGCTGGTTCGGGATTCGTGACGCAAAAAGTGCCCGATCAAAGCCATCGCACGACCGCTAAATAGAATGTCAAGACGGCGGGCAGGCAGGCAGGCGGCAAAAACCAAAGTTAGATTTAACTCCTTTTTACCGTTGGTTACAACCAGGATTAACCATCTGCTCTAATGCACAGCCGGGTAAGCAATAAGCAAGCGTGGAAGCAAGAGGGGGGGGGGGGCGGCAAGCAGAGGGGCGTTTGCAAAACAAGAACCATCTTCACGCGTGCCAGACAACTGCGCCTGGAATTTTCAGTGAGTCACTTTTGTATTTGCAATGAAGCGAGATTAATGTTGGTTCGCCTTTCGAGCGGGCGGCACGCTCCCGGCCTGAGGAATTACGATGTTTTTATTAAGGTCACGGAAAGGCCATTTTCTGTCTCTTAAATATCTTGTTTTTCTTGTTCGCCATTCCCTATTGCCAATTTGAACGCGCGCTCCTGCAAGTCCGTCCGTCTGCGCCGTCGTCGTTAGCAGGCACCGCGGTGAGTCACTCCGCCCGCCGTTCAAACGTCTGTACAGACTTGCATGCTCAATTAGCCTAAAACACAACATTGGCATGTCATTTGCATGAACGGTGAAAAATCAAGTCTTGCAAAGCGCAATTCAATGCGTGAGTCGAATTAACCTCAGTCACGTGATGGATGATGCATCGTTACGTGCTGATGAAGACGACGATGGTGAAGGTGATGCTGCTGATGAGGATGGCGATTATGATAATAATGTTGGTCATGATGGTGGTGGTGAAGCTGGTGACGGGAGTGATAATGACACTGGTGATGATAAGGATGACGCTGGTGATGACGACGACGCTGGTCATGACGACGACGCTGGTGATGATGATGATGATGACGCCGGTGATGATGATGCTGCTACTGACGACGACACCGACAAAAAATCAGACGGCCGTGCTGCCGCCGATAACCGTAAATCCGGATCGATCCGCCCCTCCTCTCCGGGCGCGAGTTCGACCTCGCGACCTTCCGCTCGCGAGCTTCCCGTCCGTCGTCCGTCCGTCCGTTCGTTTCACCCACAGCGTCGATGGCGGAAGCGGCGGCAGCGGCGGCGGCGGCGGCGGTGGCGCGCGGCCCAATCGGCAACGACGCCGCCATTGGCGGCGCCGCTGGCGCGGGGGGAGCGGCGGGGGAGCGGCGGGGAGCACCGGGGGAAGAGGCTGGCACCTTGTTGAAGACCCAGATCTCCCCGTTGACGGTGGGCCGTGGCACACCGTGCCCATTGTAGTGGAAGAGCACGCGCTCCTCCTTGGCGTTGCGCCGCAGAGACATGCACAGCTTCTTCACCTCCTCCACCGTGGGGTCGAGGCACTGCTTGTACCGCGCCTGAGGGTCGGAGAGTTTTTGGGGGGAGGGCAGGTGCGGGGGGGGGGGATAGGATGGGGGGGGGGGGGGAGTACGTATTTATGTATGCTGAAATTATTTCGCACCGTACGTAGCCAACCGTGCTAATCGGTGCCGGGGAAGGACAACAAACTAAACCACAAAAATAAGTTCTAACAAAATGAGTCTCCAATCGAAATTTAAACAAGGATAGCTCCAGTGGCTTCCAAACATCGGAAAGGTAGAACATTCCAGACGACTACAGAAAGTGCATCCGAAGGTGTGCGATGCGGTGACCGTCTTAGTTCGACGGCTATGCAAAAGCCTCCCACTGCGAGAATGCCCGGAGTTCGCGTGATGATGGTTTATTGCTCCCTGACGAGATCACCATGGTATTGTGGCTCATTTGTGGCAAAGCACGTTGCATGCGATGAGTGCGACCTCATAACGAATTCGTTCGGAAAAATGGAAGTAAATGCGAGCACTGGCGAGCACTGGACCAGCATGGTCGGCAGTGGGCAAGGAGGGGGGGGAGGGGAGAAAATAGTGCGGGGGGGGGGGGCAGCGGGGGAGAGGCTGTGACGGAGATGGGCCGGTTGTGCGTCACGATTTTCAAGTGTCAATTTAATTTTGTTCAAGCGGAGCGGGAGAGCCGAGAGACCGGGCCAGGATATGAGTCCCGTTTTGCGAAAGCGGTCGAGTGATGATTATAGTGCTGGATACAAAACCACATTTGTCAATGTGACTTGTAAACTTTGATCCTTACCCGTGTATCGATAGGAACAAAATGTAATCTAAAAATGTATTTTAGTGATTTGCTCACCTTTCCTTTACTATCGTTTTTTGTACTGTTTGTCGTTGTAACTTTCTGACCCACCCTTAACAATATCACGGATTGTAAATGTTGTGGATTTACTCTCCAACACACCGGAGTGCGGTACGAACTGGCATGTTCTGTTTACGTGACAAGCCTTCCTAATTGGCTGTGTCGATAGTGGCGGGTTAATGACAGATTTATATTTATGCGATCTAACAAAAGAAAACCTGTATTATGCATTATATTGGTCACGAAAGCCTACTGCGTGTTAAACAAATCACAGAGGTATAATGAAATAATTCTACGTCATTTGTTAAAATAAATATAATAATCATGTGTGTTGACTTTTGGGTCACCCTGTGCATTTAATTTTAAGGCTAACAGGTTTGTTATTGACACACGTGTTGGGTAGTCGTTGTGCTAGCAGCAGCAGCATCGTCACCATCGTCATCACTAGCAGCGTCATCTTCTTTACCAGCGTCGTCATCATCATCACCAGCGTCGTCATCATCATCATGTGTAAACTTGCTGAGCTGCCCCCTTACTGGACGTCCGTGAAAAAGAGCTTCACAGCTCATCGGATTTACCCAGGATAAAATCAAGGATTCTCATTCTGAGGGACACTATGTTGTCGGCCAAAATGACGGCAAAAACTAATTTAAAAAAACAATCAGGTTACAGCCAGCAATTTAGCCAATAGACATGGGGGCAAAAACCAAACCGTGACACATGCGAAATCCAGAATGGTGCGCGGACATAAATCGATGTTTTAATAAATAATAATAAAAATAAACACGCCTTTGTTGGTGCTGCTACTGCTGCATTTGGCGTATGCCACAAACAAGCCAAAAGCACTCAACACGTTCGTCACTAACAAAACGAAAAATGTATACAATGGGTGACATTTTGCAGTGCGCAGAGAGGCCAGAGGTATATTTCGATAACACGAGTTGGAGACAGCACCTCACATATACCACGGGGGGGCCTGGTAAAAATTATAAACATGTTTCCTGAATAAATCATAAAGCTACGTTAAATAATACATTCCCCCTGTGCCGTAATCATCGCTATCGCCATCATCATGAGCAGCGGCAGCATCACCGGTGCGGTGATGCGGCAGAGCAGTTTTTGCGCTTTAGCCGCTTGTTTGTGGTTCCCGACCCCACGGCCGCCCTGGTTAATACCGCGGGCGTATTCACCAAAAATACAGGCGTGGGCCGATTCGCCCGGGCGGACACTCACGATCCGGTGATGGTTACTCGAAAAATATTTTACAAAGTTTCAAAAACTAACTCTTAATGAATTTTTCTTAAATTGGGTAAACCAGAAGCAAATCGCCTGCCCCCCCCCCACCCAGTCCCCCACACCTCTCACCCCCAATTCCTTGCCACTGGCAGACTACTCGCATGCCCGTACTACGTTTAATCTTGCACCACGCAGGGACGGCCTGCCAATATGGATCCCCCTAGGCTAAACTGAAACTGGACCACACCGGCCGCCAGGTGTTGCGACACCGATCCAAAGAAAAGACCCACAACGTCCCCAGTGTGCCGAGAGGCCCAGGCCGTGGCACAGGGGGGGCGAGGGGGGGGGGGGTGTCACATGGCCGTGTCAGAGGCAATGAGTCATCAGCACTGCCGAGGATCCTGGGTTCGGATCCGGGTTTTAGCCACCCGTGATTGAGCCCGGGTTCCCGAGTGCGAGAGCCCATTGACGGCCTGGCAACAACAAAAAAATCCGGAAAAAATCAACTCTGGTTTGTTGCTTAATCGGGACTCAAATTATTCCAGCTTTGACAACTAATTTTTTTTATCAAATTCAGTTGGATTGCAAATCCGAGGCACACAGGAGAAGTGCCACAAAGTGTGTGAAAATGAAAACAGGGCTTATGAAAATTACTCCAAAAGAATTCCGTGATTAAAAAATGTATAATAAGTTAATCGTGTGCTTCTCAAATAAGAGCCACCCTTCTGCACGCCAAGGGGCGTCTTGGAGCGCTTTACACGCAGTGAGCGACTCGCAAAGTCACCTCGAAACATTGAAAGGGGCACCCCCCCCCCCCCCCCCAGTGGCAGCTGCCCCTGTGTGGTACAAGGCTAGTGGGCCATTACGACGGCAAGTTGGGTCATTAGTCTGCCAGACGGGGGGCGATGATTGCTCCTGCTGTGTGTGATCCCAAATTGAGTGATTTGCAAGTAATGTTTCAGCATTGAGATATTTGGGTAAATGGCAGTTAAAACTACGATATTTTTATTTTACCAGGGAAGGCCCACGCAGCTATAAAGCTATTTTTCAGAAGCAAGGTGGCCACAAATTATAGCTCAACAAGGTGGCTTGTCGTGTGGAAATTTATAGCAGCCAAATACACTAAACGGGCATTTCTAAATGTTTAGGGGAAAAACCCGGAGGGTCCGGAGAAAAATCCACGCGACCACGGGGAGAAAATGAAAACTCCCACGTCAGAGTCAGGATCGAACCCACGACCTCCTGTGTACCAGGGAAGGGAGACAACATTTCACCACCGCAAAACCCCATCCTCTGCTTACCCGCGGCACCACATCCTGCGCCCTCCCCCCCCCCGCCATAAACAACAATGACGGTCAGAGTCCAATTATCCGAGCCACCAATTTGCGAGACAAAACCCAGCGGTTGCCCTTTACCGAAGGGGGAGGGGTGGGTGGGTGAAGGGTGAGGGTGGGGGACAAATTACGCTGCTCCCATTAACTCGACCCCAACTGGACGGACACCTTTTCAAACCTCCAATTAGCAACTCGGCCCATGCACGGAAACCGTCAGATGGGCGTCCCCGACAAGGCCACACGACGCGCCTTCTGAGAGACAACCAGAGCTTCATTCGAGAGTCCTCAGCTGGGTCGGCCAGGTATCGCTGACAGGGCCATGATGAAACCTCCTGACATTCGCAGACCGAGCATGAAATAAGGGCTACTGTTGAACACATCTTGACAGCCTAATCCAGCTTCTGTATGTGTGTACGTACAGAAGAACCCCTCTTAACAACGGTAATTGGTTCCAGGAAACCGGTTGTTAAGTGATTTGGTCGTTAAGCGAGTATAGGGAAGTACACGTTAAAGGCTTAATTCGTTCTGATAGCATCAAAAGTTACCCTTTATCACCCAAAAAAGTACTTTTTTAAAATTTAAACAATGGCTATTAATACGTAAAGATACTAACATTATAAACCCATACAATTAAAAGAAACATGGCTAATCAATGCAGTAATCAATATTTACTGGACCTACAACAGCCGGTCGTTAACAGGGGAATGGTCGGTAAGAGGGGTTTCTACTCAACACTACGATATACTATACTACATTACACTACACTAGACACTACACATTGGGCTCTATGGAGGCCCGTCGTGAAGCGATGAACCATTAACAGGGGTTGTCTTTGGGAGGGGTTCTATTGTATGTTGAACTTCTTTCGCACCGTACGTAGCCAACTGTGCAAATCGGAGGTGCGGGGGGCGGGCAGAAGCACCACAAACTAAACACAAAAAGCAGCTCTAAATAAACGTGCTTTCAATCTGGGACCCCCCCCTCGGTGCCAGAGACTCAGGGGCAGCGTCGTCCGATGGTCGTGCGACGCACAACGATGACGACACCGATGGGTCGGCCTCGTGCCAACTTCGGTGATCAGCTGCACCAACGTCGAGCGGGAAGGGGTCGCCACCTCTCGTGCTCCCAGCTTGCCAGCCAGGCCCAATGGTTTGTGAGCTCGGTTCTCCAGAGGTTCTCCAGAGGTCCCCTGCAAAATCCCCTCCCACCCCCCCAACTGCTTCGCAGAATTCGGAGACTCGAGGAAACAATGACGCAGTCGGGGGTGGCTGGCGACCCTGTTTCTAAAAAGTCGAATCGCCACGCGTTGTGCGTGTCTGTGTACGCGCGTGTGGCTGTGCTGCACGCGTCTGCGTTGCGTGCGTGTCTGTGTGTGTGTGGGGAGAGATTGGCGCAGCGTTGACCGCGCCCATCGTGCTCACGAAATCGGGCGACCCGACTTCGATTCCCGCTCGCGGCTGACACCGGCGACAGATATGTGACCTGGCCCTCCCCTAGGTTGACCCAGCCTCAAGTGAGTACCCGGTGCGGTGCGTAAACATCGCCACTGGGGAGACAAAAGTGGCTGGGCGTGGTGCTGGCCACCCACCCACTCGTGTGCAGTGCGGCCTTCATCTGTGCTGCTCACCAACAGCATTTGCCCCTTTGTTTCCAGCTGCACGCGTCTTTAATTGTGCTTGTACGTTTATGCACGTGTGCGTCTGTGCGCATTAGTATACGCGCACGTGTGCATGTGGGTCAGTGTGTGTGTGTAGACGTGCTGTCAGGAGGTCAATGGGTTAAATGACCGGGATGACTGGCAGACGCATCGCCTCTGCTAATCACTATGCGTCGCCTTGCTGTGCTTTAACACAACGAAGACAAAGATCCCCCGTGTAGGCTACGTAGACCGTTGTGACAAGTGCTGTTGGCGAGCACCTATTAAGGCCAGCAAGGCGCACAAAGGGATGGGATATTACCAGCACCACGCCCGGCCGCCTTGGTCACCCCGGGGGTGATGTTTACATCCCGTGGCAGGTACTCATTTTAGCCCGAGTGACCAAGGTTCAGCCAAGCGGAACCGGTTCAGGTGCGCCACGATGGTAAGATGTTGTCTCCCTCCCCTGGTACACAGGAGGTCGTGGGTTCGACCCTGACGTCTATTTTGGAGTTTGTGCGTCTCTCTCCCTGTGGTCATGTGGATTATTCTCCAGGTCCCCCGATTTTCCCCTCCACGTTTAGAATCGACCCGCCTTTATAGAGTATTTGGCTGCGATACATTTTCCACGCTATAAGACACTTTTTTAAGCTACCCTTTATGGCCAGGTCGCTTCTGAAAAAAGAGCTAAATAGATCGGTGGGCCTTACCTGGTAAAATAAAAAATAGTTTAGTTTTATAGTTTAAATTATTCGTCACCGATGCTTGCTGTGAGCGGTAACCAATCCCCGGTCGCTGGGTTTTCGTAGCGCGGCGCACTCAAACCACCGGGCCCCCATTAAAACTCAACGCAGTCACAAACACTCGCACGCACGTACGCACACGCGTGCACGCACACCCGTGCGCGTGCACCCGTGTGCGTACGTGCACTCACGCGCAAGGTCGCATACCCGTGGCTGCCAGCACTCGTACTGCTTCTGCAGGTTGGTTCCGATGGCCTCCAGTGACTTCTGCGGGCCCAGCGAGAGGGGGTCTGCAACGCAGCCACAGCGGCGCCGAAGAGTCAGAGCCATCACCGCACACAACAAAAACAACAACAACAGCCGCCGCCATTCGCCACTAAGTGGCGGTGACGTCACCACGGCGCTTGCGCCAGGCCCTGTGCACATTAAGGCCACGTGAGGTGTCGAACGCCCGCTGGCAGGTGTCACGGGACGGACCCAGGTGCCATGGGAAGACTGACTGAGATGACTGGCCGATGCACCGCCTGTGCCCCCTGCTGTGCCAGACACACAGACTCTGGGGTCTGTGGGCGAGTGCCACCTATGAAGGCCGGCGCGGCACACTAGGGGGGTGGATGGCCAGCACCAACGCCCATGTGATTACACATTGCCCCAGCTACTCATTTGAGGCTAAGTCGACCTAGGGGAGGTCCAGGACTGATTCAAATATTCGCCAAATAGAGTGCGGGGTGGGGGGGTAGTGGGTGCAGGGGGGCTTGTGACTCACCGATCCAGCACTCGAGGCGGCAGCACGGCGTCGTCTTCACCACGTCCGGGGGATCGACGCCCACGTTGAGACACAGAACCAGCGCCACGCTCACCGTCTTCATCTGTGAGCAACACCGAGAGAGGGGGAGGGGGGGGGGTGGTGGTGGGTGCGAGGGAAGAGGCGGCAGGGAAGCGGGCATGAGTCACTCTTGAGCCGGCTCCACAGCTGGCGGTCGTGATCGGTTGCCCAACCAGAAGTCCGCTCAAGTTAATGAAATCGCCTTGCGACCGCTTTGCCCACCAAAGACGGCAACTGCATCGCGCGATATCAGATGCGCTTCTGCGGCCGTCCGGTCCACGCTCTTCCACTCTGAAGGCGGCACAGCAATAGCGGACTAATCTGCATCTGTTCCATCCGTGCGGGGTGGTGTGTTGCTGCCCCCCGCCTTGCCGCACGTGGGATTTCCTCCGGGGTTCTCCGGCTTCCTCCCATGGCTTAAGAGCAACCATACAATGTAAGTGGCATTGGACAAACAACATAAACTATTGAACAATTTTTTTGATGATACCAGGTGAGGCCCACTGAGCTCTATAGCTCTATTTGAGCAGCGAACGGACCATAAATGACAGCTCAACGAAGTGGCTCATCGCGTGGAAATGTAAAGCAGCCAAATACAGGTAGTCCTCTACTTACGATGGCGATGCGCTACGACGACCCCATCGTAAGTCAAAAATATCGTAAGTCGAAGATGGCCCTAGCCTTCCCAGGAGTCTTAAAGAATGATGATAATTTAGCAAAACAGAGCAATTTACAGTACCGTACTGTATAAACTATATACTGTATGTATTTATTAATTACAATACTGTATTGCACAGTAAAATTTAAAGTAAAAAACAAGGTAAATTATTAGCCTACCTATATGAACTGCAATATCATAGAAAGTTTTTTCAGGAAACAATCTTATCTGCTATAAAAACTTTTCACATGCATTGAACATATCGTATCGTGGTAACTCTAACATGAAATCGCTAAAGCTATGTATCATACATGCATTGAACGTATCGTAACGTATCATATTCTACTGTACTCGCCAAGGTTCGTACCTCGTATGCTGCTGCGTTTGCCTGCCGCGCGAAATATTTAATATTTTACAATTTTGTTGTATCGCTATCGCCATCGCAAGATCGAAATATGGTAAGTCGGGACCGTCGTAACTCGGGGACTATCTGTATGTTAAACACACGATTCTAAATGTGGACAGAAAAAACCGGAGGAACCGCAGAGAAAAATCCACACGACCACGGGGAGAACATGGAAACTCCAAATAAACAGGCGTCAGGGTCGGGATCGAACCCACGACCTCCTCTATACTAGGCGAGCTAGTTAACACCTCATCGTGGCGTCCAATACTGCAAAAATTACCTCCATTGCATGACACACTGCAGCATCGTCACCGTAATTCCCTCTTCTAACAAAAATTCGCAGGACCCTCCCGAAAAAGAGTCTTGAGACTCAGCCAGGCTTACGTGGGTGAACAAACGAAATAATAATAACCCTGCGGGTGAAATAGTTCAATAGCTTGTATTACTCTTAACTACTGGGCATCTGTGAAATAGAGCTTCAGAACTCATCGGATTTCCCCAGGATAAAGATTGTGATTCTGTATTTGTAATAACCAGATCCTCTAGGAAGCTACAGCTGTGGCTGGAGTGTGAAGATGTTCTTATCAGAAGCTGGTTAATAAATAGCGAATTATAATTGCCAGTAAATGTGACACAAACTACAGTAAATAAGTCGATAACATGTTTTCTTCAAATATCCAGCATCCTTCACATATCAATCACTCTCCACATAAAAAAGTATTTCTAAAACAACCCTTTATCAGCCGCACTGATTCAAGACAAGCAAGCCCTTGACTGGTTTCAACATACAGCGTCTCATCAGCAGAGTCAGGCTTGCTGAACCAATGCTGCCAAACTGCCGATCTTACAAGATGGGTCCTAACATGCAAGATCGTCACAGCCAAAAAGCATGGGCTGGCAATCCAACCCATGAATTTTGGCTGTGACGATCGTGCATTTAGGACCCTCCCCCCCCCAAGACCCCAGAGCAGTGAGCAGATAAACAGAGAGGAACAAACAAACGCCACATGGCCATGGCGGTGTGGAATGTGCTCCCTACCCTAGGCTTTCAGAGGCGCAGGAATTTAAAGAATGTGAATTCAAATGCCTGTGGCTTATTCAGCCAAACTAAGGCAGCCCCGGAATTAGGGATAAGGGGAGTTCGGAGGGCTCCGAGGGCTCGGTGTCCCAAACGCTTATTCACTCTCAAACAAATCATTCGGTGATGCTGCTGCTGCGGCTGCGTTGGCAGTGGGGCACAACGTACAAATAACAAAATAACTAAACACCCACTCTTCAAAAACACTGTGGGGCCTTAAAACCCACAAAGTGTATACGGGAAGTCCTCGCTTAACGTGCGGTGTTCACGCAGCGCGTTTTCGCTATAACTCGGTTCTTCTATTAGGGAAAGCGTTATAACATGGAAAACGCACCATTATGACGCGCAAACACGAGCCGTTATAACGCAAAACACGAGCCGTTATAACGCAGAACACGCATCATTATAGTGCGGAAACACGCGGCGTTATAACTCAGAACACGCACCGTTATAACACAGAACACGCATCATTATAACGCAGAACACGCATCGTTATAGTGCGGAAACACGTGGCGTTATAACCCAGAACACGCACCGTTATAGTGCGAGGACGAACGCCGTTATAGCGAGATTTCTGAGCGGTCGACGACGAACATCTTTCTTGAGCTGCGCGGCTGAGCGGTACAGTGATACAGCACGCGGAACGATACAGTAACGCGGTGGGCCACCCTGTCTTATAATAATAATCCTGTGTGTCCTGACTTTTGGGCCACCCTGTATAATAATAACCCTGTGTGTCCTGACATTTGGGCCACCCTGTCTCATAATAATAACCCTGTGTGTCCTGACTTTTGGGCCACCCTGTCTCATAATAATAATAATAACCCTGTGTGTCCTGACTTTTGGGCCACCATGTATATTTTGCTTTAAGGCCAACATTGTTGTTATTGACACAAGTGTTGGGTAGTTGTTGCTGTTGTTTGTGCTACACTGCCAGAGCAGCAGCAGAACCAGGCGTGTAAATTTGCTGACCCGACCCCGACTGGACATCTGTGAAAAGGAGCTTCATAGCTCATCGGATTCCTCCAGGATAAATACAAATTTATGATTCTCATATGGTCGAATAGAATGGTTCGATTAACCTCTGCAGTGAGTCATTTCCTGGGCACTGTTGAAATGATCGTTGTTGTTTGAGACCCATTCAGATTATAACTTGCCAAGTTTACATATGCAGTTAAGTGGGTTGGTGAGTAGGTGGGTGGGTAGATATTCAAGTAGGAGGGGGGGGGGTAGGTATTCAGCTAGTTGGTAAGGTGGGAGCTTGGTTGCCCAGAAGTCTTTATTTGGCCCCGGGGCGAGAACCCATCAAGACACAAACTCCCCTTGCCAGGGAAAAAAACCTGACAAAAAAGAGCACGGGAAGGAGGAATATGGTTGCAGGATGGTGGGGCAGAGTTGGGGCAGGAGGGGTGGCGGGAGGGTTAGCGGGGGGAAGGCAGTGGGTAGCAGGGGGGTGGTGACCATAACACGTAGGCTTTCGCGGCCAATGTTATTAATAATAAAGGTTTTTGGGTTAGATCGCGTTATTTATAAATGTGTCGTAACCCTCCACCACCCGACACGGCCAAACAGTAAAAAATGTGTCACGTTTACAAAGGACAAATAGTTCACTACTTTAGCCCACCGGTGTGTTGAAGAGTGCATCAACATCATTTAAATTTGAGTACGACGTTTCGCTGGTAATTACATCCAGCATCACCGGGCAATTCGCCAGAATGGTAAAGCCCTCACTTGCTCCCGGTCTTAAATAGAGCAGCAGCAGGGTGACGTCATCATTTAACTCATTCAGGTGCAATGATGTGAGGCGGAGGAGGGGGGGGCATTGTAATTATATAATCAATCGATTGGTAATCAGTCAAGAGTTATGATTAGTAATGAGTTGAATTAGTTGTAATGTGTTATTGTGATTATATGCTACGTTAGCAATCCGTTAATTAGTATGTGTTTAGCCCCTATAATGAATTGTAATATATATTATTTACTAATAGGAACCCGGTCTGCGGCTTGGGACTCGCTCGCTTGTGGAACGGATTCGCAGGGGCGCAGGTGGCGAGCAGCGAACCCCAGGAGGAGGCCAGCACGGCAGCAACAACTGCAACCATAATTAACGTGCGCCTCATTGTTAATTCACTGCTGGATGAGGCGCCGTCCCCCGCCACCTCGTCGCTCAGTAAGGGTTGGGCAAACGCAGGAGGGACCGGCGACCGCTTCGGACGTTCGCCGCGGCCGGGAATCGAACCTCAGGTCGGGCCCCAGTGTCAATAACGGCGCGGCGTGCTGACCCGCAAGTGCCAATGCTGGTGAAAGAAGCAACCGCGGTGGCGAGCCGTGGGGCACAAATGGCAACTCACTTGGAGAATCACGCGCGGAAGGAAACAACTTTGTCCAGCGGAGCCGCGTGTGCTGACATGCAGCTTCACGCGTCACGCACACACACAAAAACTGCTCGCAAATGAACCACAATACCTCTGCCGATCTCGTCAAGGAGGATAAACCATCACGTGAAGTCCGATCATCCTCGCCGAAGCGGCTTTTGGCTAACCATCGAACAAGGACGGTCACAACATCGCACACGCTTTCAGATGCACTTCTGTGGCCGTCTGGAACTCTCTGCCTTCCGATGTTAGGAAGACACTGGAGCTACCCACTTTCAAATCATCTAGATTGAAAATTTATTTCTTCAGAACTGCTTTTTGCGTTTCGTTTGTTGTCATTCCCCCGCACCTCCGATTAGCGCGGTTGGCTACGTACGGTGCCAAGGAAATTCAACATACATAAATTTGATTTAATACTTCCTTTTTTATGCTAATCATTGCGCGCGGTTGCATTTTATTTTGCTTAGACAGTGTTAGCTGCTGAGGTCGTGACGGGATCCTTGCATCACTCCTGTTGCTCCATGCC